ATTTGCATAAATGTAGCCTTAAAATTTATCCATCTAAAACTGACATCTTGTAATTAATTAATACTCATTCAAACACGCTACAAAGTAACGTGACGAATCGCAACTAAAGCTAAAACATTTAATATAATTCAGCATTTAAATTACTAATCAAACTGTATACAAGCCTTCACAGTGTTTACAAATACACGTCGATGGCAAAATACACGCGAGAGGTCAAAGACCTTGGATCTTTACATACGCGTTCCACTAAACATGAAATATTATACACACAACAGAGCTAAATGCAAATATTACTTGTTTTTACACTCATAAATATTATTATCATTTGATAAAACTGAATGTATAAATAATATTATTATCTAAAAAGCGTTGTATTGTGATTACATCAAGTCACGACACCTCAAGTTCAAGTAGATAGCTACTCTTACTTGATAACTGATAGAAAGCACTATTTGATTGAAAACATGTTTATTTATACCTATGCAGTACTTGTTGTGTAAACACATTTCTCATGTGTTTTGTGTTTGTTTAAAATATTCACAAAATATTAACGGGTCGAGTTGTGACTTAAGACCTGTAACAAATGCGAATATTTCTTACGCGACAACATATGGCCGTGACATCAAGGAAATTTACATTGTAGAATGCATAGAAGAGTTATTTTATTCTGTATGCGTATATCCAATCTGCACTGCATGTCAAATTTCAGTAGTTTTAGCGTAAGCGAATAACAAATATCCATCCTTACAAACATTCGCATATTTCACGTAGCGTTTTGTTTCACAATCGAAAGCAACATTCGATTGAATCATCCCATAATAATTAAATACTGACAAAAACAGAATACAAAAATACATTACTAAATGATTACCCAACTTTGGCAATACTGCCAATTAGAGAGATAACCGTAGAAGAATGTGAACCAAGCCATATTGGGCAAAAAGCGATCAAAAATAATACTTTTAAGGTACATAATTGCTAACCAGCTATTAATACCATCAGTGTTGCACCGAATTAGCATAAAGGTCGACAGTTTGCAAGTTAATGAGTACACACGTCAAACGTTTGAGATATCTAACGAGGTCAGCATTGCTCACTGATCGGAATTAATTCGCTTACCATACAATCTCTTCTCTGCGACCGTGAATACCACAACTGTTTATAAATATCGTGTTATAATTATTATAACACTTAATTTCTTAACAGAATTCCCAGAAACGGTGAGCCGACATTATGTCATCGGAGATAGAGCAAATCTATTGCCCATAATTTGGTGTATCTAACAAATTAGCCAATTTAGAATTTGCGAGCAATTCACTTAGGATCGCGTATTCAAATAATTACCCCTCAAATATTATGGCCTGAAGATTTAAACTGTATTAATGAAATTGTTGACGTTGACTACGTCCAAAACGAAAGCTTAAAACATAACAACTTCTAAGACCAAAACCACGCAGGTACGGTCCGAGGCTCTTCTCAATTTCTAAAATTACTCAAGATGACTTGTAAATTCGTAAACCAATACATCAATACATATTACGACAACATTGTTTACCTTCAAAGCACGAGAAACTCACGTACGATGATGTAAGTGAAGAATAATGTCATGACACTACGAAATCATATGAACTGTCCCATGGAATATGTAAGTATAAACATTGAACAAAATATTTAAAACCTTATACAGACAAAAGCTTCAATAGAGCTTATTTTTCGTTAAAAAGATGAAGCAAGAGTAACAGCGAATAAGTACTACTTTCACCAATTAGTGCTGTACAATTAACGTATCTATGTCTATTGACATACAATCCATACACTATACGCAAAAGTAGATTCAATTACTAACGAAACAGTTCTAAATAGCACAATAATTTCTCGACCAAAAGGGCTCATGATTCAACTTGAACATCTTCTAAGGCCAAAGTCTGATCAACAGTATCTGCCGACCAAGCAATAATATCACATGATACAACAGTTAATTCATGACCACGTCAACAATATAGACTGTTTCATAATCTGCGATGTACCTAATAATTGAATGCAATATGCAGCGCACGCTCATCATTTCTGCTAAACCATGTCATTCGGGGAAAGTAGAGGAATCAGATCACTTATGAGCTGGACTGATCACGTCAAATGATCGGATACAGGCAACCCAGTGACAGACTGCGCCAGACAATCCACAAATAGGGACAGATGGCGGGAAATCGTGAGGAAAGCAGTATCGGCCTCCAACACAAATACGGCCATCTTAACGTGACCACGACTGCTCACCCAAGAGCGACACGACGGAGAAGTTAGTTCGTTTTAAAAAGTTATTTTTATAGTTGCTATGGCTATATGTAATCTACTAAGTTGTTATATTATAGTAATGTATGATACCGAGATGCCAAGCTATATGGTATTCAAGTAACAAAAAAAGATTGATTCAGTACAGAGGACAGTGATAACAAAAGGTAAGGTTTCTAACAGTTAGTGAGGTATTCGTTTCGTTAAAAAGCTTACAAATCAGTATAACAATAGCTACCGGCTTTGTACTACTATTAAATCAATTTTTATTTTGTTATCTGTATTGGTAACTTTGCTGACGGTACGTACTTTATTTTAAAAATGCGTGTCTGAGAACCAGTGTTATAGGACCATAGAAGATTGCTTTACTTCACTACATAGTATAAAACAAAGTCGCTATCCGCCGTCTGTCTGTCCCTATGTATGCTTAGATCTTTAAAACTACGCAACGGATTTTGATGCGGATTTTTTACGTGCGAAGCCGGGGCGGGTCGCTAGTTTAACATAAATGACTGATGAGATCAATACTGATATTCCTTGCATTATTTTTACATAAGATATTCCGATATTCATACACTAATCATATTTTACTTCACTTCTATTCTGCCCTTTTTATCTAACAACACCGGCGGGTAAAAATAACACCTAACTCTTCCTGTGATCCCATTCATTTATTGTCTTCGTGATGTTATCAAATATTTTATATTTAGACAAGCATGAAAAGATTCGTCCGAAAATATCTACAATTTAGTGTACCCGTGCGGAATTCTCTAAAGCTAATGGCCGCTTACCGAAAAGGGATATACCGAGCTATCTTTAGATGTGACTAAGCAATAAATAACTACGAATGCGAGCATACAAGTAGCTTGCACCACTTCTAAAATATTTAAAGTTTGTTCAGACAGTGCAGTCTGCATTTGGATATTTTCTTTATTATTTTACTAATAAAATGTCATTAAAATTGACTATTTTAATAATTAACGACTTCTACAAGATAGTCAAAATAATTAATAATCAAAACGCAATTATCCGATAAAAGTGATTCTTCTGCAAAACAAATAAGTATAAACAAAATAAACCTTATTTATGGTCATCGCGAACTGAACAACGTAAATATAGAATCGAAGGTCGAGGCGACGCCACGCGAACTTTTAGACTAACTTTCTCTCAGAACAATACTTAATTATCTGTGAACATTTTCCCCCAACGGTTTGTAGAACCTTGATCTTAATTTAAACATTTATTTAAATATTGTTACTTAAGCAGTCGAATGTTTTGATACAAATTGAACTTGACACACATAATTCTTATAATTTGTTAATTTATGGTCGAGGTAAACGATAGCTTTTTGTTGATATAATTTCAACGAAAAGAGATTGAATTAAGGATCACAGACGAGACTGTTTTATATGAAATATATTTCCGATATTACTGTAGGTATAGTTGACCTTTGAACTAGATAACAGAACTAAATCGGTGTACTTGTATCGGTGTGCTCTGGCAAAGCCCCGCAATAAACTTTATTTATAAAGCCCTCGGGCATTCAGACGGTACACGTCAATGGTCGTTTATTCCGTCTTAGATAAAGGTTTTATCTGGCAACACAAACAAAATATCTCTTAACATTTATACTCTTTGCTCTTTATCTACCAAATCGGGAACTTGGTATTTGATTAGAAATGTAAACAATTAACTGTTTATCTGATTGTCTGTTGTTTTTTAGTGATAATACAAGTGCCTACTTCTGCTTCTAAAGCGCCAATGTATTTTTGTATTAATTAAAGATTTGGAATTTTGAAAATAATGTCTAGTACTTAAGTATATTAGATTCTGTAGTCTTCTATCTTACAAAATACACCAAGCGACAAAATAGTCGATTTAAAAAAACGGTAACGACAAACAAATCACATCGCGTACACCACTAACGTTTATTACAAGAACTTTTCCTTAGAAATCGTTTCTTGAACGAAAGAGAAAGTTAAAAATCGCAATACTTTCATGTACTGTCAGAGTAAATTTTCTTGAAAGGTGAAAGAAACGCAAATCATCTGCGAACGTAACGTTCAAACAATTTATGGTACAATATCGAAAAATTATTATCTTCATAATGATATCATAAAAACGGAATGGAATTATAATATATGTTAATGATCAGAGTGGAGCTCCATAAAATATTCAAGGATAAGATTAAGACCACTTGTGGAACTTTCATATTTCAGATTAAGGGATTTTAATATTAATCTGCCAATTTCAATAATTGACAGCGTCCGTTTTGGAACTTTATGGAGCAGAAACTAAAAGTTGCGCAGGCGCAGATAAACAAACTTACATCAATAATAATTACAAAATTCGGTAATGTGATTCTCAAGTTACACATGAGCTAATGAGACGTATCGTAGAGTTTAAACGATGAAGTTTTTAACATCGCTAAGATTGAATTCGGTTGTCAATGCTGTCAAGTTGAGCTTGATTTTTGGATAATAGCCCTATTCGTTAATTTATCATTTTTTTTTTGAATTAATTTTCTTTTTCGTACACTTTATAACCTGGCAAAAACTTCAAAACTTCAAGTAGAACTTCAATAAACAGTATAAAATTTTCTCAGCCATTAAACAGTAGAATAACATAACTTACTCAACCATCAAACTGTCCGTCAAAAGTATTATACTAAGTACTTGATAACTAGAAAACTATAAAGTTTAACCAAATATTCACCTTAATTGAATGAGGTCGCCAAGTTCAGCGGGCAGCGATCTTAGCTTGTTATTAGATATATCGAGGGTATGGAGGTTGACCAGCTGGTTGATGTCAGGCGGGATCCTCTGCAGCGAGTTGTCGTTCAGATACAGCGCCGTCAGATGCGTCAGTTGGAAGAGTTGAGGCGCCAGGGCGCGCACACCTCCTGTTACCTGGAAATGTTATTAAAACAGTTAAAATCTAGATCTAAAACATGAAGACTAATGTCTTTTAGTTTAAACCAGCGAAAACTGGTATTATCTGCAACATCCTTGTTTATTCCTACAAGGAAGAACAGAATTACAACGGTAGAAACTCATGATAAGACGAAGTTGATGGCACAAAACTGTATTTGGACATATTTGATCAGATAGCTCCATAAACATACTAGATGAAGGGCATTAATGGACATTTTAAATCAAGATATTCTGGTCCACTTTTGTAATATCATCACAAGTCACATCTTGACACTATTCCATACACATAAATGTAAAATAATGGTTTCAGCAAACACATTTGTATGCAACAGAGGAAAGACAAATAAAATTAACCTTAATTTATATTTAGCCTAAAAGGATAAACTGTTTTATAGAGGATGGTAAAGTAAATAAACACTGAACTTATCTCACGACGCAATTAATTAAAATATTCAATGCCACACAAAAAAACGGAGTCTAAAATAGGTATACAAGATACTTTATGCAAATAAATATTCAAGAATTAGCTTAAAAACTAGAACATTCGGAAATAGATTAGAAAATTATATTGTGAAGTGTTCAACACCTTTTCTGTCGGGGGAATTTGTTGAAAGGTTTTCGAAACTAGAACCTTATTGGTCATTTGAGGAAAAAGGGTAAATACAGGGTACCAAAAAGGTTTTCTCCAGGGAGGTATTAAGGGAACTATTACAGAAAAGGAACAAGTTGTAAACAAGACTATAGCTAGGGATGCACTTCGTAATGAAACAAAATACTATGCTATCGCATTATCATTTGGCAACAATATCTATGCAACCAAAATATTATTTTAAACATTTCAAATGCTATATTTATATTTCTCTAGCATTTTCGTGATTCATTTCATCATGTCATGTGATAAGGTAATATTAATACAAAATATTGAGTGTGAATCATATCAGGATAGAGAATCAATTTGTCCATACTAATATTACTAGAAATTGAAGAAATAATAAAAAAATATTTTAAAAAGAGGTGTTATGAGCAATCATTTACTGTTTTATGTCATCAATTCCAAGTAAGAGTGGAACGAAACTATTCTCAAGCAACAATATGAAGAATTTAATATTTTTAACTTTGTCACTAAGGTTTTTAGTGTCCTGCCTGCATTTAACTGAGGAAACATTGTTTATTTTTTTACAGGAATGGAACTTGTGGTAAGATGACCAAAATGGTTACTAAACCCTTACCAAACTACATTTCAGTTTTCATACGAGTAAAAATAAAAAAAGTATCAGATTCATAGTAAGAGGTTAGGGATATGAATTACCTCAAGCGTGGTCCAGCCCCCACGACGGCCGGACGCCCGCTCCGCCTCCGACATAATGTGGTAAGTGCGCCCGCTAGCGCCCTCATGCTTGTCTTTGTTGCGAGACATTCTGTCACCTGGAAGACCACAAACAAATTAATATCATGATTACAGAACCTAGTACTACTATATACAGCCAACGAGAGAGAAGAGGAAGTAAACTTTTTATTGAACTTTTATTATTTTTAATCTATATTTTGCATTGTCAGAATAAAACTATAATTAATAACTGTTATAATTATATATCTTTGCCCTTCTATAGCAAGGATATATTGTAAATGGGTTAGTTACGAGTCGGCTGTAGTTGATCTATTTATAATTTATTTTAAAACTGTTCATACATTCATAAATTACTTTAATAATTTTCTACTGATTAATAGATGACTAACTGATAGGATGTGATGCAATTTAAAATACAATTTAGTCAACATTTGAGTCTATTTAACATTAAGTATGATGATATTCATAATGCGTTAATGAAAGTAATATTTAAGGCATACATTTACTTCGTTGACACACTTTATTATTTAAAATAGTATTGTTTAGTTTTCTATCTCACTTTTGATGGAATAGTGAAACACCTTTTCAAAGGACAACAAAATAGAATAACCCTGTATAATGATTACTACATCCAAATTTACAAATTGAAGCATTTGAAAAAGTAATGACAATTACCTACTTGTGTTGTGTGGATAAGCAAACATTGGTGTTTTTAGAACAATTCAAGATAATTAACATAGAATAAATCACCTAAATAATTAACCAGGACAATTGTAATTAGCCCGAAAAAATATACAACAAACTAATCATATAATTTTAATGTCAGTTAACATGGCAACAAGGCACAAAATCTTGAACAATGATTTTCCAATGTAACTAGGTCAATTTCTAATCCATTCAAAGTTAGATTTAAAATTGCAGTTTTGAATAGCAAACATTTTTTGTTTCTTTTGTATTCAACATGTTTGGTAAGTTTTTTATGGCCCATAGAACTGATAGTGGGAAACTGAGTAAGGTATAACATATGCAAATAGCACGAAAAACAATGGTTGCATTAATTGAGCCTGAGTTTGCAAGGTTTGTTTGTATTTTAGTGTCTATGTATTTAGCGTTAAAGTTCAATTTTAGAATGTTGGCTAACACAAACACATATGTTTATGAAGACTGTTATGCATATTAAATATGTCAAGAGCCAAGTATAAATGAAAACAAAGAAGACTACCATATATTTACTTTGTATCAACAAAATATCAATACTTTAAAATGTATTATTAGAAAAGTTTTTATAGTTTATTATAACTGTAATTGACTAAATAGGATTTTTGGAGGTTGTTCTTTACCTAGCACTATTTTTATAATGTTACCTTAACTTCTAAATGATATTTTATGATACAATTACCTACATAGCAACAAGTAAACTAATGTATTACCTACTTATGTACCTTCATTTCTAAGACACAAACCTTATGACAAACAAATTATTTCAAGCCGTATTTTGTACAAGTAACATTGCTTGGAAATTTGTTTAAGTAATGCTTGAGTCTTGGTTGAGATTCTGCAATGTGCTCACAAAGTTACACATAAATAGCTGCATATTTTCAACACTATGTGTAGATTTTCTTCCATTAGTAGAAAATAAACTTGTAATAACTTCAAAATATGTTTAATTATTATGTTCCATGGTGGTATTGCATGTAAATAACTTGAATATGAAGATTATGCTATTAAACGCTAAAATTACAACAAATATTACTCAACAAAGTTACAAAACTAAATCTGAAATGGTTTTTCTGAAATGTTGACTAACACTTCTGTTAAAACAATCCATATTTTGTACTAACTACGTAAACACTGATACGATTGTTTTCATACATATGGACACAAATTTATACGTTAAAGCACTAGTAAACGATAAAAATGTACCTTTATAACACCGCGAGGGGTCATTAGGTGTGATAAAACGACTTTTTTCGATAAATTATCTTCTTTGTAAAAATAAGGACAACACAAGTCCATAACCTCCGTAGTACGGCGGATAAACCTAAAGAATACAGTTATTACACATGCTTAATAGGCTTTCAACAACGAAACCGGACCTATTTCCTTGAAAAAGTACTGATTTAATTCATTAATTCAACGATTACTGTATAAATGCGTAGCATCTTTGTGTACAGCTGACATGAAAGAGATGAATCGACTCGTACCACAGTGGAGTCCCCAAGCGCCAATTCCGTATTCACATTTACAACAACTTGACTCCAAAAATAACTGAATAACCAATTAATACACACCTTCATCTACTCCTTAAAACCTTTTACTTCAAGTAGGATTATACTTTTGGGAAATAATTCACTGTAAACAGACAATGGGACACTCTTGACAAACAACCACATCAAACGTCCATTTACCGACTGCAGCGACAATCGACATTAGCGGCAAATTCTAGAACTTTACTTGGTGTTGTGGCGACCATAGACGATAAGTTCTCTAGTGGCGCTAAGTTCAAATAAATTTAAATTGAACCTCTTTGTTGTAACTGTAATAGTGTGTTGTGATTATTTTTTTGTTGATTTCATTACTTTTGTTTTACATCTTATTTCACATAGTATAAAATATTTACTTCACTTCCCGTCAATAATAGGATTGTTCGTAACATGATTGTTTTTTTATCATGAGGGTACATAATTGAGGATGTTTTGATTCAATATTCATCCACAAATATCCATATATAAAATCTATGAATTATAATGTTGTAAAAATTGATGGATTTTCGTTAAACATTAGTCCATTTCAGTTTGAATGTTTCTAATAACTTCAATACGTAACTCTTTATAACACATTTGTTGAATTTATATGTGTGAGGTTTAACCTTTGAGTACGGCCGAAATATTTAATAAAAAATTCGCTATCTTCGATAATTGACGCTCCAGTCTCTACCCTGCATCTGCAATTTTGCTATAATTTAAATACAAATATAAAAATATCTAAACAACTCTAATTTATTCCAAACAACAATTGTCTAAGTGCATAATATAATTAGGTTATGAAACATTTATTAAAGTAAGCCTGTGACAATAAAACAAGTATATAACACAAACTTATTGCATTTATGCTACCTACTTAACCTTACTGTCTTTACAATAAAAATTAAAATTTTAAATGAACTTTGTTCTTTTGTCGTGAAACAACAACTGTGAACTAAACGAGTGCCCCCATTCCAAGTAGTGAACAGGAACTTATAGCATTTTGAGTAAAAATATATTTTTTAAATCCGTAAAAATGGTTGAATGTAGCAAGTTTATGGTGAATAATAGTGAAATAACAAAATATACGTGTCACCAGCTCATGCACCCCTGGACAGAAAGCTGTTTAAGTGCATTTATCGACATGTCTTGGGCCTGTGGAAAAGGAACAGTGATATATTATACTCCATTTCTAATAATATTTTCAGTAAGTATGGTTTTTATCACAGTGATCATAGTAGCATTGTTTTCATGTCATCATCATCATCATCAACAGCCGAAAGACGTCCACTGCTGGACAAAGGCCGGGCCTTATGTTTTATGTTTTCATATAAAAAAACGAAATTGGCCAAATTGTTAACACTGGTATGTCTGCTGTGGGTTCAACACGTAGGTATGGGCTGACTCGACGGGAGTGAGACCACAGCCTTTGACTTGCAAAAGTAGCAAGAAACTACGCTTGTGTTGTGATATTTTGTTTCGCCGTAAGTGAGGTTATCAGAGACGTATGCCACCCCCTCTCCATCTCTAATTTTATGATCCTTATGAAATGCACTTGTAACTTCTTTGGTGTTGCGGAGTGTCCATGGGCGGCACCAAGCGTTCGCTAACGGATGATCCGTATTCTCATTTGCTGACTTATCCCATGGTCTATCCCTGCGGCAGCAGCATAAAAACGGGTAATTTTTTCAATGTACGCTATTCAAATCGACGGGGAAAGTTGAAATTCATAGAAGGATATCAAATACACAGCATATAAGCTGACTGAAATATTGGAATGTGGGAGTAAAAGATAGGTATGAAATTAATGTATTTGATAAATCTAAAAGTGGCGCTGATTACAGAGAAGTCAAAAAATGGTCGAACCTTTGAATAATTTTGATAAGGGCATGACTTGAACGAGAAGAGGTGATAAATTATTTACGAAGCGGTTAATGAATTTGAATTTGTATTTGGAATAATGTAATAGAGGAGAAAAAGAAAGTAATGTATGAACCAAAGACGTTGAAAAAAGGCGGACGTAATGCCAATTGAACGCGGGCCTGCTGACGTTGCGTTCCGCGCGCGCCTCAAAGAGCCATCAGACCATCACAGATGGGGCCTAACAGGGCCGATGCCAATTCGGAGTCGCGGAGAACCTAACGGGTTACCGGGTTTTTAGTCAGTAAGAGCCTGACACTCCCTCCCGCCTCACCCAGGTGGGAGCAATCATTTTATGATTTTCCTCCCTTAAAAAAATGCCAATTGAAATGATTGGAGTACCAAAATGTCAGTGATGTATATAAGTGTACGTGTATTTGAAACACCGTAACGACGACGGGCCATGTCACGCGATAGTTTTCCTTCGTGTCAATGTGTGTGAATTCTACGTGTAAGTCTATAGTAGCTAGGTGCCACAATCGTTGTTTCAAGAGACTATGCCCGCCTTTTTTAATCTTCTTGGTATGAATCTGTATGAATACAACGAAAGAAATATACGGAAGAATTTAACGAAAGAAGAAGCAATTATGTACTACTGATTGACCTGACCTGACTCACCAAGAGCCAGTTATGGACTGGAATGTTAATAGAAATAAAAAGTGTGATAATGGTAACTCATGGTAATTGGTAATACATAAATCAATAAACAATTAAAAGTTATCTTACAATTTTGTAGTATACATGGTTCTTACTATAATAATGAGGGCATTTCTGTTGTGTCTATGAAAATATATTATATGCTGTGGAAATGGAAATATTACAATGTATGATCTTTAAAAATCTAAATTAAAATTGTAATCTGTATAATACTCAATAGTATTGGAGTTTAAATTAAAGAAATTAACATGTCTAAATAATAAATGAAGATTTTGATTAGTTTATTATTTAGACATTTAGACATATTTACATGAAAATTGAGACATTTTTTGCAGTAATTTTCTGGTATCAATATTTTAAGCATGAATATTGCATGAGCGAAAAGAATCGACAATGCGACATGGGCTTGAAAAAGAGGATAACAAAATTTTACCACTTTACTTTAATTCTCAATTTCATCTTAGTCACTAATTTTGGAACGCATCATGTCAATACAAAAATGTCATTGTCACTCTTGTCATACTGTTACTGTCCTGTCACTGTTTTTTGTTGTAAATTGTAATCTCAGGTTGTAATCGGTCAATCGTTGTTGTAAAGAGTAAAGCATAACACGATAATTATCACATTTCAATATTTTCCTTATGCGTCTGAACATCATACGTTCTGGCGTCAAAATTAGCCGTTAGTTTATAGAGTTATTTATGAAAGAACATTAGTTATAAGTAAACTACGTCAGTCGTTATCAGTGTTCGTAGCACACGCGTCTTCCAAACAAGTGTTAATTTTTATATCATATTTTAAAATGGTTGAGGCTAGTAAACTTTGGTTCGAAGCTGCGTGTAGTACTTGTAAGTGCCATGAACTTATACATCCGTGGACGTACCGATGTTCAGATGCTACGAGAACTATGTTGATAAGTTGTATAAAAGGGAGCTACAAATTCTATGCCATGGTCTATCTTGTAAGTATTCGTGCACTTTAAACAGTTTTCAATTTAGGTCACGTCATATTTACATGAAAATCACGAATATTGCATGTTAGCAAAAAGTCTGTGTAATTAATCTGCTAGATACTGGCTTAGTGGCCTTTGAACTTTAGTTTTTAAAGAGATAATTCTTTGTTATATTTACTAGTAGCATTGTTATGAAGCATTGTTATGAAGCATTATTATACTTAGTTATTATATGTATTATGGTAATAACCACAATTATATTTATTAACAACAGTGTATAATTATCAATATACTTTTGAATGTTTGATTTATTAACAACTAGCGACCCGCCCTGGCTCTGCACGGGTGCAATATGGATGTCTTAAATGTTATAAACCTTCCTTAAGAATCACTCTATTTATTATAAATAAAACACATCAAAATCCCTTGCATAGTTTTAAAGATCTAAGCATACATAGGGACAGACAGATGGGGGATAGCAACTTTGTTTTATACTATGTTAACAATTAACAATGTTTCCTGGTGTGTATGTCTTAAAACTGCTACCTACTAACTGAATCTCTTACTGACCCAACTGGAATCCCTAAGTCACCTGGGAAGAGTGCACATTAGTAACAATTGTGAACTCATTGTTTCAGATACAAATATTAATGAGAGGCAAAAAACTAGGTAAGAAGGAAATGCTAGAACAATTCAAGCTATATTTAAAATCTGGAGTATTTGGGCTGACGGTTGGCAGTTCCTTTGTCACATTGAACTGCATATTCAGGTAATTTATAATAAAGAAAGTTCTTAAAAGAAATATCAATTTATTTAACTCTGGATAAATAATTTTCTTTAGATAAGAGAATAAAATTAAATGTAGTATGTATGTTTTACTCTTGGTTGATTGTACTTCTGAATTGATAAAATCTTAAATCAATGAGAAAGTCAGAATAGCCTATAAACAAAGTAGAGATAAAATTATTAAAAATTATTAATTAATTATTGTGTGCAATGTAAAACAATTCCCGAGTTAGACATAACACCAGATATAATTTGGGACTTTTATGCTATCAGGTATTTCATTTTCTTTTTTTTTTAAACATTGCCCTACATTAGGGTCCTGTGTCGTGGGTGCGTTTACGAACATACAAGTTCACATACACAATGACTTTTTGATTATGATTTGAGAGTTTAATTCATATAAGCATACATAGGCATTCACATAACTGCTTACTATGGTAGAAAAAGATTGAAATACTTTTAAGCTTAGCTTAAATAGAAGTTTAAGTTAATACTAACGATCTCCCAAGTAAACATTTAATAAAAAAATACAATGGTCACATAAATTAATGCTAAACACTCTAAATCATTTTTTAATTTTTGTGTATAATAAAACACAAAAATATGAAATAGTTTTTTATAAGGAACAATTTCTTAACTGAAAGTTTTTAAATTATTTGTTCATTGTATAAAAACATTTTTGTCCCCCCATGTAGATTATTTATTGCTTTTGTATGTAGTATGTAGATGGCTAACATAAGTAAATATATTATTTTCAGAAAGCTGTTTTTCAGTGAGTTTTCATATTATAACACAGTGCTGTTACCATGCACAGTCAGTGGACTAGCAGTATACTGCGAGCCACCATACAGGAGAGTTATGGTGCTCAATCTATTTGTTAATTTGGTGAGTTGGTTTTTTATTTCAACTGTTATTAATTTATATAAATAATAATGATTAATTTACGTACTAGAAATTACAAAAACGCTTAGTTTCTAATTTAATATTGTTAAACAACAAATAAGCTAAGATTATTTGCTATCTATATTAATAGTTTCAAAATGGTTAGGATTACTGGTTTTTAAAAAAATTCTCAGTAGTAGCATGGAGTCTGGAATGGTGCCCGGTATATAGCATTAGGCTCACCTCCTATTACATGGGACTCATAATATAAATAGTGAAAAGTGGGTGTTACATTGTACAGTGACATTAAGTGCCATAATGTGCACCTCTGCCTACCCCTTCGGGAATAAAAGGCGAGATGTTATGTGTGAGTTGGTTAGTTAAAAATTTTTGTTAATCGTCCTCTAATATAAAAAATATATATCATGATTTTGTTATCTTATTCTTTTACAATTATGATAAAATACAACTAACGGATAACAGTAGGCTTAAGAAAAATACTTCAAGGTTTAGATAAATACCATTGAATGATTCTGTTGTATATATATTGGAGTTTACTTAAAAATATAGATAATTTATTATTTAGACTTTACATGCTTATAGTAAAACTGTTCTGTCTTAGGAATAGGCTCTGAAGTTGCCCTTTAGCTATGAAGCTCTTTAGTAATTTTAATCTATTTTTGGGGAGTCGAAAATAGTAATAATACATAAATAGAAAATCAATATTCATTCAATATACTAAGTATCTTTTTATAGCTATGTCATATGATCATGTAGGTGTTTGTTGAATAAATATTTAATGTTTACACATTGTAGGACATACTGTATTACGTCATAGTTCACTTAAAAAGTATGAGTAGGGCTGTTAGTATCACATTTATCAGTAATACGTCACTAGTTGTAACTTTACTCGTTTTTAACTAAAAAACTTCAAATTTGAATATGGATGATCCATTGAAAATACTCTTATATTATATATGAAGGATGTAGGTATAAGTATGTTTCTAAGTAAAAAAAAGTCGTAAACTCGAAACAAACAAAAGTACCTATATGAAATAAAACCAGTTATTTTTTTATTTGAATAATTGTACTTTGGTCAACATCATTCATTACATAAGATGTATGTCAGACACCAATCTTGTAATAAATGAGATAGCTGCAGGGCTCTCCATTGTACAATAGAGGTTACAATGGGACTTTGTTCTCCTAAAATATTTTCTTTCAGTTCTTCTAACTTGTATTTTTAAATAGATATTATTACACAAGCCCATTTATCATTATAACCTACTCTTAGCTGATATAGGACCTATATTTCTCAAATTGCTTGTAAGCGCTTATACAGTTTAGCTATCTTAATGAATGACTTAGAAACGTTTTTATTAATACCAAAAACGACAATAGGTACTGAGAAGATTCTGATATATTCACCCAACTTGAAGCGCAAATACTTATATTGGAACTAGCTACTTCACCCGCTACTGCTCAGCTCCTATTGATCGATAGCGTGATGTTTCCGCCTATAGGCTTCCTCAATGAAGGGATTCGATTCAGTAGTTCCAGAGGTAGCGAGTTCACACAAACACAACTCTTCACTCAGCTTTATAATTTATAATACGTAGTAAGTAGTACAAGATAATCTTCTACTATATAAGTCGGGTTTTCCTTCCTGACGCTATAACTCTTGTTTTGCATTCGTTTTAAAGGTCCGTGAGGTTTACAAAATAAAAACAACAAAAAAATTCTTCATCTTTTAATCACCAAACGAAATGTTACATAAAACGAAACATCTGGTGGCGAAACGGAGTTCGTGGGGTTTGCTAGTATAATATAAGATATAAGATCAAATTAATAGGAAAATATAAGATTTATTTATTCAATGAACCATCCGGTTAATTTTTTGTTTATTCACTGTCAATGAAACAGATAGGTCGGGAAATCTTAGAATGACATTGAATAATAAACAGTGGTAAGTAAGACGAGTTCGAGTAGGTATGACTGTATGACTTGATGTGTTATGTCCACAGATGTTTGTCTGAGATTTTCATTTAATACTTTAGAACTATAATTATTGTTTAATATGTGCCAGTAACATTTATCGTAAGCATGGATGGTGAAACTAATTAATCGATCTATAATATAATGGTGCTAAAATGTGTGTAGGTATATTTCTTAATCCATATACAACTCTCCATTTAAATTCTATTAATATGGTGTAAACAGAAGGCGCTCTAAATCGCTGACATGTGATTGTAAAAAATGACTTCTATATTCATAAAAGTAAGGAATGAAATTATTATTAATTATAACTATTATTACATAAAATAAATATTTCGAACAATTTTCACAACGGTTTCCTTGGCCGAGTGGTCGCAAGTGCGGCTGCCGGGCAAAGGGTCTCAGGTTCGATTCCCGGGTCAGGCAAAGTACTACTGGGTTTTAAAAAAAATCTCAGTGGTAGTCTCACGGAGTCTGGAATTGTGCTCGGTATATGGTAATAGGCTCAACCCCTATTACATGGGACTCAAAACATAAATAGTGAAAAGTGGGTGTTACATTGTACAGTGGCATTAAGTGCCGTAATGTGCAATTCTGTTTTCACACTGTATAGGAATAATTCATACTCATATAGTACTTATAGCAACACGAACATTAACAAGTATTTTACATTCATGATATCAAAAAGGAGGCAGAATAAAACCGTTTAATATTCGATATGTTTTTTATGCTCTATCGGTTTCTAGATGGTATACAAAGAAACAATTTTCAACTATATACATAATATAATAATATGTATGTAGCAGCTTACATTTATGTATTTCTTACTAGCGACCGGCCCCGGCTTCGCACGGGAGCAATATACATACATGCATTATACACATAACCCTTCCTTTATAATCACTCTATCTATTAAAAATCCGTTGCGTAGTTGTAAGGATCTAAGCATACATAGGGATAGACAGACGGCGGATAGTAACTTTGTTATACTATGTAGTGATATAAAGTACCTATAACCTTTTATTTGTTGAAACACCGGCTCTCGGTAGTAACACATTATACCCCCAACTTTCAACAGACAAGAGGATAAGTCATGTACAGATGTGTTACTTAACATTATTTTGAAAAATATCATTGCGATATTTTACGGTTTTATTATATACTTAGATAAATGGCAATGTATAACAAAAAATTTAAGCTTGAACTTTGTACTTACAAAAAAACACATATATATACACAAATGTTGTTTTTGTATATTGTTATATTCGTTGGAGAACAGGTAAAGGGTTAAGATACATAGTTATTAAAATTTATAAACTAATCATAAACAGGTATTTGCTTAAATATAATTAACAGTTTGAAATATGATTTAATATAAAAATGCATTAAAAATATGAATTTACATAATTAATTAAACTTACTATAATATTTGGTGTTTGATTAGCGCCCAATTATTACTACTACTTCCTGTTTCTATGCGGTAAATTATGTGTAAAATATATGTACTTATAGCTACTTTATTGTAATTTTAGAATTTAATTATCATACATAGGAAAAAGAGTTTTCCTAGAATGAAGTTCTCAACACATAACTTCACGCCTTTTATCCCTGAAAGGGTAGGCAGAGGTGTACATTACGGCACTTAATGCCACTGTACAATGTAAGACCTATTTTTTGAAGTTCTCTTATGTAACAATTTAATAAAAAAATATATATTTCATAATTCAGAGTAAAATATAAAATGTGTCTTTAATTTACTCCAGTTTCTTAATAATCGTTATAGAGTATATTTGGCTACTAAAATATACATAAATTGTGTCAAAATTCTATTTCACTCAAATGTACCAATACGCATTTTGAAACAAAGTAATAGTGTTCAAAATCTAATGACAAATAGTGTATCATTAGTTGACATCTCTTCCAGGTGTTCGAGTACTGGGTACGGACACTAGAAATGAAAGGCTGGCTGCGACGGTCTCCAGGCAAAGAGACATTAGTCTTCATGCTTGGTAGTGCCCTCTTCTTCTATCTCATGCGGTTAGATAGAGACAATAATAAACGGACGCCTTTGTTCTGGTATGTATTTCATTGAAAAGTACTGACACATTGTTGTATTATATCTTAAACATGGAAAATTAGACTATTTGTTTAGGAACATAAGATTCATTTTACTATAGGTACCTATTTCGATATTTGAAATATATTGCAAAATTGAGGTATGTTTAATAAATACGTATAATGCTAAGCTAATAGTACCTAAATAACTGTTTTGTGAGTATGTACTTATAGATCCAAGTAAACAGGTTTTGCACATTAAAGGAGCTTTTTGAATGCAAATTTATTAGGTCCTGCTCTAGATAGCAGTGTTTGAGGTAGTCTATAAATTGTTAAAATGCACCTAGTACCTACCTACGTCGAGGAGAACCTAACGGGTTACCGGGCCTCCGGCTCGACGTGCAGGAGAAGTAACGGGGTGGTTTTTAGTCAGTAAGAGTGTGACACTCGTCCCGCCTCACCCAGGCGGGAGCAGTCATTCGATAATTTTCTCCCCTTAAAAAAAAGTACCTACCAACAATAAAATATTTATTATTCCATGTCTCAACAAATCAGACACGACAAACTAACAATTGATTTTTCCCGTAGTATAAGTAGTATAGGGTTTTTAGTATAAGTGCGAACAGTGGAGAGCAGGTGGCAATTGTATACGAAATACTGACATTCAGCCCAATTTAGTGAAGAATCCTTGACGAGCCATATTCTATAGCCCCGGTATAGGATAGGAGTTAAAACAGGGTGGTTTTTAGCCAGTAAGAATCTAATACTCATCCTCCCATCTCGCTCAAGTTGGAAGAATTTTGATGATTATCTATCCTCACAAAAAAGTACTACGTAAGAGGTTGAATAATAAATATAATTTTATCAGTTTTTTGGTAATTATAATTTTATATACCTAATTATTCATAGGTTCTTCACACCTCCACGTGTATCAAAAGAAGTTGGTGAGCCAATGACAGGCATCCACGGCAGGAGTCCGGCGTGCCCACACAAAGAGCCGTGCATCAATTACATTCTTAAGGTAAATTGAACAGACGTCATAAGTAGCTAATCTCAGAACAATATCGGTGCAAAACGAATAATGTGTTGAATAAAGAATAATAATATACAATATTATTATTGCAATTAAACATTTAGATGGTAAATGTAAACGGGAGTTTATAATAGCTATATCGTAAGATATACTGAATTAATTAACCCGTCCCATACCGCCGGAACGCGAGACACAGTTTTTTCTATCGTGTTTCAAAGGTAGATAAGCTTTTAAAGGTAGATTGAGTAAGCTGCACGACATCGCCGTGACCGCGCACGCTGCTCATGAGGAAGAGTCCCTCTGCGACTCGAAACTATAGTCGTATTTTTAATTAGACGAAGTCAACTGACAATGGCTAATGTCAAATTGTAAAATAATGTGGCCATATTTAAAGTAATAGTGATGGCTACAGTTCTCGTTCAATCAAATGAATGAACAATGAATGTGAATAGTTCATAATTTTAATCATTCCAAAACATAAATGAATATTATTTCTATTTCTAATAAAATTGTATCAATATTTGATAGTTTATTGTAAAGCGCGGCGCGGCGAGTACTGACAACACCGATCGACGTCGCGCGCGTCGGTCGCCATTTTGATTGTTATTCGGCTTCTAACCTCTGGTCTGAAAGCACGTACTTTGTTATTTCTGCGCTCACGTTGTTTTGTTAAGTTTTTTGTTTCGTTGTGTTTGCGGTTATTGTGGTTCATTGTTTCCTTTAAACAATATGGATCCTCAACCAAGCACGTCAAGTCAAAGCTTGTCTCCGAGAAGGAAGAGACCACGGGTTTCGTTAAGCGTTACCGAAAAGCTCATGGTACAGAACGTGTATAAACACGTATTTGAGGAGAAAGCTGCTTCTCTATTACCTTTTGAAACCCCCGAAAAACAGGAATGTGTTTCGAAAACAGCTGACATTTTGGGAATTGGTGTGACCTCGGTTTACAGTGTATTAAAAGAATACAAAGAAAATGAACAATTTAAATCACCCGAGAAACGTGGACCGAAATACAATTTCAAAGACAAATTAGATGATTTTACTTTTACTGCCATAAGGCGAAAAGTTCATCAGTTTTTTTATGCAAATGAGCCACCCACCATTGCAAAGGTAACATAAACTTTATTCCGTCTACTGCATTATATTCTGTGTCCACCATAATGTTCTTTGTAAAACCAAAGTATTAGATTGCATAGATTTCCTTACTCAAAAACATTTTTATTACTTTACAGATCCTTAAAGTTGTCAATGAAGACCCAGATTTACCGACTTTTTCATGGAGTACACTAAGAAATGTTATGAAACATTTGAATTTCAAATACGTTTCAAAGACAAGAAAAAGCATTCTTATTGACAGACAGGATATTATTCTATGGCGCCAGCGATACCTTCGAGAAATAAAACAGTATAGAAGAGAAGGAAGGTATATTTATTACCAAGATGAGACCTGGATCAACGAAGGTAATTACAATTTTGTTTTCTTCATTTAAAATTTTACTTTCTGTAGGTTTTGTGGCCACAGATAAAAGTTCTTACAATTCGTTACCGACGCTGTATTTAACACAGATTACATTGCGTTTCTTATAAGACTGTAAAATTCTGATTGTGTGACAATAATATAAATTAGGAATAATTACAACAAACATGACAAACCACTTAGATAAACGTGTACATACATTTACAGGCATGTGTTTAGAAGGTCCCTCTACTTTCAATAATTAATTGATATTTTTCTCTATTTTTAAGGTCATGCCCCGAAGAAGGTATGGATTGACCAAACAGTGCTAACCTCCCGCCAGGCCTTCCTCGATGGCTTGACCACTGGCTTAAAACAACCTTCAGGAAAGGGCAAACGCTTAATTATCGGACATATAGGCGGGGAAGAAGGGTTCGTAGAAGACAGCCTATTAATATTTGAAGCCACAAAAAACAAAGAAGATTATCATCAAGAGATGAATGCCGATTCCTTCGAAAAGTGGTTCAGAGAGGTCTTGCCAAAACTCAAACCAAATTCCGTGGTAGTGTTGGATAATGCCCCGTACCACTCCAGGAAACTGGAATCGCTGCCTACAATGTCTTGGACTAAATCCAGAATACAAGAGTGGCTAACAAGCAAAAATATCGCATTCGAAGCAACAATGATCAAAGCTACTCTTAACATTGTACGACAGCACAAACACCAACATTCTGAAAAGTTTGTTGTGGACGAGATGGCAGCACACCATGGAATTACGGTTTTACGTCTGCCCCCATACCACTGTGAGCTTAACCCTATTGAGTTGGTATGGGCGCAGGCCAAAGGACATGTGGCAAGAAATAACAAAACTTTTAAAATGCCAGAAGTTAAAAAACTGTTTGAAGAAGGACTTCAACTCATCACAGCAGAAAAATGGAGTAGTTGCGTGTCTCACGTTATTAAAGAAGAAGACAAATGTATGGCCTTGACCACATGATTGACAATGTGTCAGACAACTTTATTATTAATGTCACCGAAAGTGATAGCGATGATTTTTTATCTGATGATGATTAAAATCAAATGATGTTATTAGCGTTGTTTTTATTATCCATAACTACCTAATTTTTTTATATTTTACTCATCTGTAGTTTCAACTACTTCAATTAATTCACTAGACGATCGAGACAATTTCATTCATTTAGTTGCTTTTTCAATCATTCACTTTTTCGCAACACTATTTTTATTTCATCAAAAACTGACAACACAGCAAACGTCAGTCGACTTCGTCTAATTAAAAATACGACTATAGTAGAGCTTTTCTCAGTATATTTCCGTAACTCATATTTTTTTTAGTTAACGTAAACCTAATAAAGAATTGTACGACGACTACGACTGTACGTCATTGTCCGTCAGTCGCTTATGAAATTAATTAATTAATGAATTTGCCTGATATTTGGTATTAAGCCCAGCGCTGGTGAAGGCGCAGCAAATATACTGAACATAAATCAATTTAATTAAACCTTAACTACTATGGTATACGATAAAATGGATTGGTTCACTGGTGTACGCTGAGCTTTACAGCCGCGACAGACCTAGTTACGTACATATTAGCTATGTTAATAACATAAGTTTTATATACATTTCAGGGCACTGCGCAACTGTTCGGCGTTGGATGCGCAATGACAATGTTAAGGACGCTTATCCCCAAAATGTTGACACCAGTGAAAGCATTCAAATCATTGAAGATGTCACATATGAAGCTTGGACTGTTTTTCGGAGGATACATTGGTATTTATAGGGTAAGCTTATATTTTTATGCTTATCATCAACAGCTTTTAAATGCCCACTGCTGAGCAAAGCCTCTTCTCACACGGAGAAAGTTTGAGCATAATCACCACGCTTGCTTCATGCGGGTTGGCGATTTCAAACTTATAATTAGAAATATAGATGCTATTTAGTTAGCTAGTTTGTAATAAGCCCAGGTTTCCTCACGATGTTTTCCTTCACCGTTTGTTAGTGGTGTCTAAATAATCTTAGAAAGTACATATAACTCGGTATAAGCCGATACATTACAGAAAGGAATCCTAAATGGCGCTTGTACTTGCGTTGACAAGTAGTACAGTTAGCATATAAAATTTCAAGTCGAATAATTTTTTCAAAATAGAAATAATAAAAACATGATCGGGCCGTATTTATTTCTAACCAGTTGAAGATTTGAAAAACACTTTTGAGGATCTTTATTACGATTTTGGTGGTATAAATAAAGAACGAATATTACTTTTAACTCATTTATTAATACTATCTATGAGACGGTCCTCACCGGGATTATATTTTATGTCTACGGTACGCGCGAGAGTGAGTATAGACGGCACTAGCGTGCAAGCGAGAAAACATGATAAGCACCGCCATTTTAGATTCCTTTCTTTAATGAACCGAGTTATAAAAGTATGTATTTGTATGCTCTTTGCTCAGTAACTTTATTATGGGCAAACGAGCAGAAGATCACTTGATGGTAAGCAATCAGGTCCACAAACCATATTACAAATTTAGTGTCTCACGAATGTTATAATATAAACAAATTTTATATCCATTATGAACAAATGATATGTCTATTTCAGCTAGTAGTGTGCTTACTATGTCGGCGCACGGCAAGGACAGCGCGATGTACGCGATACCGGCTGGCTTCCTATCAGGGCTCGCCTTCAGAGCATCTCCGTCCTTACCCATCTCGTTAGCGCCTGTCACTTCTTCCTTACAGGTACGTAGATACGTCATAACAGGCTCACATCGGTGATAAATATGGTAAAATATTCATGTGTCCAGTCATATTTAGTGACTTTAAATCTATTGTAAAAACAAACAACAAAAACTTTATTATGCAAAATTCATTTATTATGCAATCCACGAATTCCTCATATCCTCGCAACTACAAAGTCACGCTTGAAACCACAACTTAGTATAAACAAGCAACGGAAATAATTAAAACTATATAAATATCCTTATTCAAAAATATTTGCATTAAAACATTGACATAATGATGAATGCACTTCTCCCACATTCCAGATTCTAGGTTCATGGGGTTACCAGAAAGGCATGATTCCTGAAAACTGGCCGCTCGTTGAGATTTTATACTGTCTCTGCCAAGGTCTACTGTTCCACGCGCGAGTCATGCATGAAGATGTCTGTCCGAGATACATCATCAACTTGATGCATACTGTTACTAGTTCCAAGTAAGTTGTTCTTTATGTCGTTGTGATAGGATTCATTTTGCAATAGAATCGTTTTTCAAATATCTCAAGTTGCTCTGTTATATATTTCTTTTACAAGGTAAGGTTTAAATAATAAACTTTTAACTTATATGCACCTGAATACTAGCAGGAAAGACTGCACAGTTTGTGCGGTGGTTGGGCAACTCGCTGCCGCGCAACGTGTCGCGGGTTCGATTCCCGCACGGAACAACTCTTTGTGTGATCCACAGATTGTTGTTCCGGGTCTGGGTGTCACGTGTATGTGAACTTATATTTTTGTAAACGCACCCACGTCACAGGAGAAAATCCTAGTGTGAGGCAACGTTATTTTTTTAAATCAGATAGAGTCATCTCAGATTGTTAGAGAATAATTTTTCAAAGAGACGAATTGTATGATAAAGGTCGCTGATATTAAATCTTTTTCTTTCCAGAGCGGACGAAATCCAGTCAGCATTCATAAAGAAAATGTTAAAATACGCTTCAGGTTAGATAGAATTTTAGACAAATTTATTTGTGTATTAATTTATGAGACGTTTTATGAGATGGGAATACTTGACGAAAAGTTAAGCTGATTTCTAACAATAGTTAAAGTACAGACATTGGAAGTACACATAAATATAAGTGTTATGACAAATAGCCACCTGTGATAGCGTATATGGATAACTTGCGCAACTTAAGTGTTGATGCGCAAACTTGCGCAAAGTTTGCGCAAAGACAAACTACAAAATACTCGTATGAATGTAGATATTTAATAGTAAAAGCACAAACGTTTTTGTTATGTGACTTAAAAAACCTTGATATATACTCAGAATAAAGTTCATTATTCCTTTCGTCCAGTATTCCTGTCTACATTTTATTTAGGTGCAAGTCTGTGATTTATGTTAAAGCGGATGTTTTGCGGTACAGGGTTTTATTTTAAATGGGTATCATTAAAGGGTTGGTGTTTACGTTAAATATTCCAATACTTTAAATTTTTGACGCAAAATGAAGAGGCAAAGAATAAACTAAAAATAAACAGTATTATGAATTCAATGCCTACTTCATTTACTGCTCGAATTTCATCTTTAATACAATAAGCTTAAGTTAGAAATTGGTATTTCAAATGCGATTTAGTTATGACAATTTAAATATTAATCGACTACATAATTTGTGCAACTCCACAAAATATTTTGCATATTTAATATACCAACAATATCTAATAAGTAACATACAACGCAAGTTTAGTTTGTTATATTGCCTCTTCATTTTGCGTAACCACAATTAATTATACATGACGACAAATTATTATAATCCAGTGTGAGTTGACCTTTCATTACCTGGTAATACCAGTAAACGTGAGATCAGCTTATGCTGGTGTGTACAAAAGAACTTGATGTTATTTCAAGAACAATGTGTTCTTAGGATGTTTATTACATAACTGATTTGTAAGCTGTTCTAGCTGAGGTTATACTCTATCCTGTTTAATTCAGAGTGTATCTCTGGAACTAGAAAGGCTATGAAAAATAAAGAAAGAAGGAAAGAAAGTAGACGGGATAAAAACTCGTGCGCAAATGAAATGAGTATTTGGTGCATTTGCAATATTTTAGGAAATTACGTCACAAACGTTGAATGTACAATGCAATTTACAGTTCCGTGCAAAAGATATACTTACCTAAAAAAAATTACATTTGAATTCTGAACCAATCAGAGCCTCAGAGAGTATCGTTTTAATGAGACATACTAAATAACTAAAAATCGCGGGTTACTCACGTGAATATACTGAGAAAAGCTCTACTAGTTTCGAACCACAGAGGGATTCTTCCTCATGAGCAGCGTGCGCGGTCGCGGCGATGTCGAGCAGCCTACTGGCTTGCGTTGGCGCTCGTATCGGTGTTGCTACTTGCGCTTCTAGCTCTGTGGTTCAGTATATTTATGTGAGTAACTCGCGATTCTTAGTTAAGCCCAATGTATTCATTTTATGATGGTTCACTTATTCATCACAGTAAAATGAAAACATTGAATTTAAACTAGAAAATCTTCATTTTTTGCACGATACTATGTAAACTAGATATTTTGGAAGCTATTTGGATGAAGTTAGCATATTATTGTAATGACTTATGAGACTCATGTCGGAATACTCAAACGCTACTTATTTTAAGTCACGCTGAATTATAGTTCTGTCTCTACAAAGTCTTTGTAAAATGATAGAGACGGCACGATATTTAAGTACAACTTTAAATTGAGTAGCCTTTCAGTATTCGGGTAATAGTTAAATATAAAAACTTTATCGAAATGCAAAAATGTTTTTTTCTAAGTCGTAAGTACAAAGAGTATAAAGTATAAAGCATTGATACAAAAAAATAATTCTGGTAGTTTCCTAAATTTAATTTTAATGTCCGTCTGGTACATTAATTTAAAACTTTATGCCGAAATACTGAAACGTTACTCAATTTTAAGTCGTGCTCAAATATCGTGCCATCTCTGTCATTTTACAAAGAATTTGTAGAGATAGAACTATACTTAAGCACGACTTAAAATTGAGTAGTGTTTCAGTATTCCGACATTAGACACGTATTTTTTCTTTTCTCCCAAAATTAAATACTTTCGACGATATATTAATTTGAAATATCGTGTGACGTCACAGCGTGCCACATTTTGTAGCACATTATGACGTAACAACCTCCCACTCCTAAGCGCCATTTTATGTAAGTATTGCAACTTAATAGGAGAAAATAAAAAAAGTACATGTCAATATTTCTTCATTATCTAACTGACGGACTAATTAGATTTTTAATTTTGTTACCCTGGAAACTACCCAATTGTTTAAAAATGACAAACTCGAATAATTTGGTTAATCGAAAACTGCAAATATTCGAGTATTTGCTTAAGAAATTAGTATTGATTGACAATTTATTATTAGAAGTCCACTATTTTGGTGTTTAACAGATGTGATGATGACAACTCAGTAATTCAAAATTAGGTGTCACTTTATTTTATCAGTTAAAAAAGAAAGTTTGAAAGATCAATATTTATTTTTTAAACAAGGAATAATGAAAGAAATATTAAATTATTTCTCAATATTTATAGTGACAATGAAATGGTTAAAAACTTTATTAAACAGAATCATGATTACTGAATTTATGCGCTATATAATTTTAAAAAACGTATCGTTGAGCGCTGGGTATGACCTATCGAGGTGGACATACTACCTGATTAAGGTCGCAAGGAGCTGCTAGATGCAAGTCACTTCCAATCAGCCCATCTGGAAGTCATTGTGAGAGGCCTATGTTCAGCAAAGGCGTCTTATGGCGGATATGATGAATATAAAACAATATTTCCAAGTGTTACAATCTATAAATTATCCGAAGCCAGGATTAGAAGCTAAATTGAACTTTAATGTAAGTAAATTAAGGAGTTTAGTCGCGTAGCAAATGAATAGTGCTTATAAATCAGTGCCTGGGTGATGATAATATTAGTAATCACTTTTAGGTAAATGTTAACTAACAACGAATATTAGAGTAAGGGTTATTTATTTGGTACTTGTGTGAATTGTATTTTTTGTAAGTTTGTGACCTGTAGTTTTGAATAACAAGTGTCATTACTGTGGGGAAAAATCATCAACGAATTCATTTTTTAATGAAACCAGTGAGCTATGTAGTTAGGATTAATGTTGAATGATGCGATACCTTAGGGAAGGCCTTTGCCCTGCAGTGGGACGATCATGGCTGAAAATCAATAAAATAATAATGCAATACCAGAGTCCGTAATCTGCGGCCTCCAACCCGCTAGTCACGGTCGCAGGAGACTCTTCGGACATCGTAAGTCCGGCGAGCGAGGGTACCTCGCCGCCCGACCAGAGGCCTTAGTAATCGAAACGAGACGGCATTCGGTGCTCTGATTGGTTTGTTCGTTGGAGCCGGCCAATCACAGCGCCGAAGGCGTACTCGTTACGACTACTTTAAACGAAAAAGAAACTCGTACTAAGAAGCCCTCTGAACCAGGGATGTTATGGAGCTCCGTAACCGTAACCGAAACTATCGGATATCCGATATAAAAAATATCCGTAACCGTAACCGAATCCGAAATAAAAGTTTCGGATACTATCTGATAGCGGCGTGACGTATAAACGAAACAATTATATTAGCTATTTGTATTTTACTTTTGAAATTCCTTAAAATTTTAATATCCGTAACCGAAATTATCCGAAACTAACGGATAATCCGAAATAATTTCATATCCGTATCCGTAACCGTATCCGTATCCATAATAATCATTCCTATATCCGTATCCGAAATTTCATATCCATAATATCCCTGCTCTGAACAGACGCGTGTGTGCGGCGCGTCGCACTCCGCGTGTCTCAAACAGCCGTCAGACCACCACAGAAGTCATTGGATTATTTTCCCGCCTCGAAAAACTCTGTTAGACGTGAATATTATGACAGACCCTTTGATTTAGCGTGACCCTATAGTTCTATACTGGACTGTCGTTGATCATGGTTTATAGAAGTAAAGATTAAATACACATCAGAATGCACATCAAATATAATTTACACAAGTAAAAAAGGTATTTTAATAGGCACAAATTATCATAGTTACCTGTAGAATTCTATAATAAACAACATATTTGTAATATCAATTGAAGATATATTTTATTTATTACGTTAGCTTTGTAGAATTTTATCAATTTATTTATAGATTCAAGTTTGGGTGAGGAAAGCAATTATTGTGAGTAAATAGTAAATAATTAATATTGGTAAACACCAATTAATTTAGAATTTTACACATGTCTAAATACTCAAAAGCCACTCATTTTGAAGAAGTACTTAACGGCTATTTTCTATTATCCTATATATCTGTAGATTTGCTTACTGAGATAGAATTTTGACACATTTTGTATGGAGCTTATGTCAAAATTCTATCTCAGGGTGCCAAGCACGAATGACTATCGCATTTGTAACGTAATAGTATCGAGCGCGTTCGGCGCTTTGATTGGCTGGCTCCGATGAACCAACCAATCAGAGCGACGAACGTGCTCGATACTGTAACTTTACGAATGCGATAGTTGAATGAGTGCTTGGCACTCAGTAAGCAAATCTACAGATGATAGGTTATAGAAAATGGTCGTAAATATAGTTCTGTCACTACAAATCTTTGTAAAATGACACGATATTCAAGAACAACTTTAAATCGAGTAGCCTTTCAGTATTCGGACGCTAAACTCAATAAGCCGCAAAAGTGTGCTAAAAAGGTTTTAGGATAAATATACAGTGATTTTGGTAAAAATTAAACCAAAATATTGTAACACTGGACCATAGACAAATGAATAAACTGTGTCAAATGGGAATATACAGATTACATTTACTTTATCAATATCTTTATGCAAATTAAGATTAAAAATATTGAATACAGTGAACAGTCTTAGCAAAATTTGACAGAAACTGTATCATAATGGGTGGGAATAAAATTGTTCATTTATTTTTAAACATTTATTCAAACTTATTATGACAACGTATTCGGAAACATACGTTACATACTTGGTTTAATTTTACCCAAAAATTACTATACTTTAGGCGTTGTCTTATTTTTACCAAATCGCATTTATGAATATTTTAAAAAGGTGACAGTTAGGCTAGTGTTGCCATAATGATAGAACTTTATTCTACTAATTTTCCAATTATTATTAGGATTTGGACAAGTTTCCTTTGTGCACGAATATTTATTTGAATTTTCACATATTGTAAGTGATTAATTTTTAAGATTTTTATGGCAATGTATTTAATGATATTTGGGCAAATATGTTCTCAAATAGGCTTGTGCTAACTTACACTCATCACAATTTACCGACATCAGTATCTTTAGTAAACTTATAGTGTACCTATAGTCTGCACAGTTAATAAGTATCTTCACCTATCTCATTTTCGACTGAGTCAATCTTTATTATCGTACACAGGTACGTACACATACACACAAAAGATATGGCTTCATTAATAACCGTATAATTTACTGTAGGTACTGAACTGAGTCTATCTTTATTTTCTTATTAGCATATTATTATTATTTAACTACTGACTGCCTCGTTGGCCGAGTGGTCGCAAGTGTGACTGACGGGGAAGGGGTCTCGGGTTCGATTCCCGGGTCGGGCAAAGTATTACTGGGTTTTAAAAAAAATCTCAGTAGTAGCACGGAGTCTGGAAAAGTGCCCGGTATATGGCAATAGGCTCACCCTCTATTACATGGGACTCTTAACATAAATAGTGAAAAGTGGGTGTTACTTTGTACAGTGGCATTAAGTGCCGTAATGTGCACCTCTGCCTACCCCTTCGGGGATAAAAGGCGTGATGTTATGTTATTATTTAACTAGATTGTGTGAATAAAAAATAGCCTATATATCATTCCTGACCATAATTATGGTAGATTATAACCTATCCCTGTTCCAATTTTCATTCCGATCCCTTTAGCAATTTTGATTTGATTGAGTAACAAACACTTACCATAGGCTCACCCCCTATCACATGGGACTCATAACATAAATACTGAAAAGTGGGTGTTACATTGTACAGTGGCATTAAGTGCCGTAATGTGCACCTCTGCCTATCCCTTCGGGATAAAAGGCGTGATGTTATGTTACGTTATGAGTAACAAACATACACACTAGCACACAAACATTCGCATTTATAATATTAATAAGATAACTGTGCAGACTAACTCAAAATACTCCATTTTGCTTCTTAAAATGAACCAAAGCCTTGTTTCGAAAGATTGTTCTGACCGTATTTGATGTATGTACCTATGTTTTTGTGTACCACGCCTGTTGTAAAACGCGTACAATATACGCCACCTACCGATATCATTAGAATGCTCGACATTATTGTTATATTTTTGTAATAAAATGATTTTGTATTAAAACTTCATGTTATTTTAAATTATGTATCTTACCAATAAAATACCCCAAATTATTGTTGACAATGTTTTATTAATTGCATCTGAAACTTATAAAATTATGACGAATTGCCAGCGTAAGAGTCTATAGAAATGCCAAATGTGGAAATTTAGAAAATAGATAGGTTTAATTTCTAAGAGAAACGCTAACGCAAGAGAGATAGAATACAAAAATAGGCGTCAAATAAGCGTACATAAAGTGCTATCAAATAGTATTTTGTTAAAGAGCCATATTCAGTCAATTTCCGTAACTCTTGGCCCTCCGCTTTCCGGACGCTGCAGGTTACTTGGCCCGCCTCCCGTGCCACCAACGCCGTGTAGTCTCATCATGGCCGGTTGACAAACAGCTTGTAAATCCTTCAAATGCTTCTCATAATCGTCCATCGAAGCGTCACCATGAGATTCGAGCCATCGCAGCTGATTGTTGCATTCATTACGGACTTTATTCTTCTCGTCCTCCGACAGCCTGGAACCAGAGTTGTCTATTGCCTGGAAAATGTTAATTTCTTTCATTATTGTTGTACTGTTAATCATTTCAAGAAACCGCTTACCTTAGCCTTGTTGTAGGAAATAAAGCAACACTAATATTGAATAAGTAAATAGTAGTTGATTATCGCCTTAGCGGACGAATTTAGACAATCGGCCATAGATATCGTATACAGATTTAGCCAACACATAAAACGAAATCATTAAAAGTGATACCTAGGTATCAATCATAAAAGTAATCCATATCGATGACCAAAAATAAAAAACAAGAAATACGTACCGTCTTACAACCAAAAATGTAGCCCTCCAACTGATTCTTAACTTCGATTTTCTTCTTGGACACTTCATCCTCTTCTTTGAACCGCTCAGCTTCGTGCAACATTTTGTCAATATCATTCTTAGTGAGGCGGCCCTTATCGTTGGAAATCGTGATATGTTCTGATCTCCCCGTACTTCTATCGTGAGCGCTAACATTTAAGATTCCATTGGCGTCGATGTCAAACGTTACCTATAGCAATTTAAAATTTTCAAGTTTAAAAGTCTCCTCCGGTATTTCCTCAAGATCTTGGATTAAGAGATTTTGAATTACCCCATAATACACAAACTTCAAATAAATAGAAAACTTACTTCAATTTGAGGTACTCCTCTTGGAGCGGGAGGTATGCCGGTTAAGTTAAAAGTGCCCAACAAATTATTGTCTCTAGTCATTGCTCTTTCTCCTTCGTAAATCTGAAAAAATAAGACGTTGAACGTATTTGAGAGAATCAATTAACTCAACAGTAAGTACATAAAACTGCATCTACTTACTGTTTGTATAAAGATAAGTAGTCATAACAAAATGAAGAGTTTGCTTAGATTGGTTCAGTCACCTAAGTTTCAATATATAGGTGCTTTCGACTTACCTGAATGGTAACAGCGGGCTGATTGTCAGCATAAGTAGTAAAAGTCTGCTTCTGGGCTATTGGGATTCGAGTGTTCCTTTCCACTAAACGGGTCATCACTCCACCAGCTGTTTCAATACCCAGCGAGAGGGGCGTTACGTCGACCAATAATACTTCAGCAAGCCGCGTGTCCTGAGAACCGCTTAGAATAGCTGCTTGAACTGCAGCCCCATACGCTACCGCTTCATCAGGATTAATAGACAGATTAAGAGACTTGCCACCGAAAAACTCCTGCAATGTAGGTATGAGGAATAAGAAGAAATATTTTTACAAGTATCTGCACTAATGATATGTACCGTACAACCTATGTATTATTCGCTACCTGTAACAACCTTTGAATCTTTGGTATCCTTGTAGAGCCGCCAACCAAAACCACATCATGGATTTCTCTAGTGTTCAAATTAGCATCTTTTAATGCTCTCTCTACAGGAACTAAGGTCGATCTAAATAGGTCAGTACATAACTCCTCGAACCGCGCTCTCGTAAGTTTAGAATAGAAGTCGATTCCTTCAAACAATGCATCTATTTCTATACTGGCTTCAGAACCGGTTGACAGCGTCCTTTTAGCTCTTTCACAAGCCGTTCGAAGTCTTCTCAATGATTTAACGTTTTCTCTCATGTTCTTTTTATATTTTCTTTCAAACTCTTGACTAAAATGATCGACCATTCTGCTGTCAAAATCTTCTCCGCCCAAATGGGTATCTCCTGCTGTAGATTTTACTTCGAACAAGGATCCTTCAGCGATTTGCAAAATAGAAACATCGAATGTACCACCACCGAGATCAAAAATGAGTACGTTCTTTTCGCCAGTAAGATTTTTATCGAGACCGTAGGCAAGAGCGGCGGCCGTAGGTTCATTAATGATTCTGAGAACATTAAGGCCAGCTATTATACCAGAATCTTTAGTAGCCTGCCTCTGGGAGTCATTAAAATAAGCCGGCACAGTAATAACAGCATCCTTAACCGTTCCACCCAAATATGTTTCAGCAACGTCTCTCATTTTACTTAAAATCATGGAGGAGATTTCTTCCGGAGAAAACCTTTTCTTTTCTTTTTTATATTCAACGATAATTTTCGGTTTTCCTCCATCGGATACGACTTGGAATGGCCAGTGCTTAATATCGTCTTGTAGTTTAGGGTCGTCAAACTTTCGTCCAATGAGACGTTTTGCATCAAACACTGTATTATTGGGGTTAACTGCTACCTAAAATTGAAGTAGTATATATAAAAATGCAATCTGATGATACGAAGATATTAAAAGATAAGATTTATATTAATGTGGGTTTACTAAGATAAAATTCGGTTACCTATAGCATTTTAAATGAATAAATAGTTACGCAAAGAACGTATAATTGGTTATAAATATAAAGTAACCTAAGTATACCTGACTTTTAGCAGCATCACCGACCAGCCGTTCAGTTTCGGTGAAAGCGACGTACGAGGGCGTTGTCCTGTTGCCCTGATCATTCGCAATGATCTCCACTTTTCCATTTTGGAATACTGCTACCACTGAGTTCGTGGTCCCAAGATCTATGCCCACCGCTGGAGTCATCGTCCACTACCTGCGTGGACATAGCAAATAAATTATTTTGTCCTATCCGCAATCTCATATCTACCTACTAGCTTTTATATTTTAACCACTTTATCCTAGAGTGTAATAAAAAAGTGTTGAATTAAAAAAAGGTGTAATTAAATAACAAAGTTTAACACCAATAATTGTCTATTTGTGGCACCGTAACTTTGTACTGATCGGTGTATTGATGTTGATATGGGTTTCTCTGTGAACACGAAATTCTTAGTTGAATTTTGTAGCAGAATGTAGGTTTTATCACCTTCCCCTTTTCCTCTCCTTTTTAAATCAGAAATAGGTCAACGTTTCTTGACGAAAACTAAACCTTTTTTATTGTGTCTGTACTCTGTAGTATGACTAGGTAATAGAGGTTTTTTAAATGTCCCTGGCTAAGCTTTTGTATAAACTATTACGTAATTTGGAGCAGCACAACAAAGGACGGTGTTCGACACATTAAACTAGTTTTCGCTACGTTGAAGTTTATGAAGCGTCCTGCATGGCTTCTCTAAATTATCTTGGGGTGAACTTTAATTGATGATAGAGAGGCAAGTGGGGCGAAAGGAGGTTGCATTATCGTATGGTTGGACAAACATTTCAATGTACTAAATTAACATAAATATTTACTTTACCATACAAACTTACGCTTCTATTTAGTCATACTTGTTAAATGTCTAGCAAAAAAACTAACGCCTCTATCAGTTATCTCTCGATCGTATTATTTATATTTATCGTTAGATATTCGTTTTTTTAACCTGTATTAAGATATACCTCAGTACTTTCATATTGAAATAGCAAGATAAAGCTGTTGAGACGTTTAGGACATAAATAAAATTACCTAATTTAATTACGATCTGTACAATTCACCCTTATCAATGAAACTGTCCCGTAAGAGGTATGATATAAGTTATTGTAATCGGACTATAATGGATGACAGACAGCGAGAATATTTGGTAAATGAATTTATTAATAAGTGTTACTTATTTATTACATTTCTAATATTTGATGTGCCGACGTTTCACCACTATCTCGCCTGGTGGTAAGTTAAGTTAATTACCAAGTTTCCGATATTGTGATAGAAAACAGATGGCGCTGTCGCCACGATACAGATCAGCTCCGTGTATTTAATTCTAAAAAAATAGTTTTTGTGCGTGTTTATAGCTATAAATGTGTTAATTAGTGAAAATTACCTACGATAAACAAGTGACACTGTTATCCAGTGTTAAAATTCATAAACTAAAAAGTTATTAACGTCTAAAAACAAAAGTGGAATTTGCCTTCAAAAGAACAAAAATAGTGTTAAAATAGTGTTTTAGTGAACTATTGTGCGTAAAAGACTAAACAACATACATTTTACGTTACTGTTGCACAACAATAACATCATTCAAAACAATAAAACAGTGATAAACAAAATTCTTCAAAATTAATAAAATATCCACCAACCGTCAAAATCGTAATTCAAAAAACCCACGCTTTTCTTAAAAACAATATTGTTGCGAACGGAACATCTATTTCAACAATCATTTCAACGATTGGATGGTCGAGTGGTATAACACTGTACCCATCTATTGAATACGACACTGAGGTCGAGGGTTCGGAACCAGCCAAGTGTTATTCTTTTTCCAACTTTTAAAACATATTTAAAAAATTTATGATGAATTTCTTCGAACACATTACATTTAGGAAACCCAGTAAACAATCGAAATCGATTATCGAAGAAAGTGCCAATAGTTCAAAACTAGATGGCAGCACTGATAGTTTTCCAAATACAATATCTGGAAATGAAAGCTCTATACAACTACAAATACAAGAACTTGAACAAAAGGTTAAAAATCTTACCACACTACTGGAAACTGCTCACGAGAAGTTGGATAGCTTGTCTATAGAAAACAAGAAACTTAAGGAAACAATTATCAGTTTAAAATCCGAAAAAGAAGGGAAGAAACAGATAACATGTAAAAACAAAACACCCAGTAAATACAAATTACCACCTGCGCCACTGACGTCTACACCAAAGCAAAGCTTGCACATCGCTCCCAATACCCATGTCAACATTCCCCGTATTGATGATACAATTCAACACAAAACGCAAAACGAGGGATATGTGAAACAAAAGAGGAAAGTGTGTATCATTAGTGCCAATAAAACTAATAACATACTGAACATTGCTAAACAAACATTATCGAACTATCAAATTTGCCACTTTTTATATCCACATTGTGGCGTTCAACATTTACTGAAAGACCTGCATAAGAAGCTAGCTACCTACTCGGCAAATGACTTTTGTGTAGTTTTAATTGGTGAAGAAGACTTTCTAGTGACTAAGTACTATGATAAGTTAATTATAGACATAAGAAATTGTTTACAAAAAGTTCAGCATACTAATGTAATATTGTGTCTACCAACTTACAAGTGTAGCGACTATTCTACGTTATTCAACATACGTGTAGAAACGTTTAATAATGCGTTATCTCTAGATATACATACAAATAAGTATGCTACTGTACTGGACTCGAACTTAAATCTTGTTTGTGACTACACTATGTTTTCGAGATACACAGGGAAAATACATAACGGTGGGATTAAAAATATTTTCTATACACTCAAACATTTACTATCAAATAAATTACAAAATAATTTTATGCCATTAATAGTTAATAATAATAATGAAAGTATCTCAACCTCAAAAAACCCTAATACCGATAGAGAAACCACATTTTTTCGTAGCTAAACGGAATATTACGCTATTTCATCAAAATATTGCCGGTATCCTAAATAAAAAAGATCTCCTAGAAATAACTATACAAGAACTGCAAACGAACGGTACAAACATTGATATTCTATGTTTCTCTGAAACATTCTTAAAAAGAGGCTCAGAATGCAACCTAATATTAAAAAATTACAGATTAGTTTCATCTTTCTCGAGACCTCACCAAAGACGAGGTGGAACTTGCATATTGGTTAAAAAAGACTTTGAATGTAAACCTGTCTCTAATTTAATTACTCCTCTAATATATGATTTTGAATACTGTGCAATTGAAATTATTACTCTTAATGTTTTTGTAATTTGTATTTACCGTACACCAAATTCAAACTTAGGTACGTTTTTGAAAAATCTGGAATTTATTCTAAGCAAACTAACAAAGCGAAATAATAATAACATAATACTATGTGGGGATTGGAACATAGATGCATCAAAGCGTGATAATAGGTATAAAGAATTAGAATGTATTTTACAGAACTACAATATCACTAACCATATAACAAACCCCACAAGAAAATCATCATGTATAGATCTTATCGCAAGTAATTTACCCAATGTCCAATCTCAATTACACATGCTTGCATTATCTGACCACGAAACCGGTCAGACCATATCTTTCCAATCGTCTGTAGATCGCACAACTTTAGGTAAACAATTTTGGTTTATAAAGAGAAGAGATTTAAGTCTTGACAACATAAAAAAGTTCATGTCTTGCATTTCAGCCCTTTCTTTTACAGAAGTATACGAATCAGATGATACTGACATAGCATTCAATCACTTTCATGATACATTGTCCCTTTTCTATAATCTTTGTTTTCCCATTCTTAAAGTAAAAATTATAAACAAACCGGTAAAAAATAAATGGATAACAAAAGGAATAAAAAGGTGCTGTGTCAAAAAACGAAGTATGTACCTAATATAAACTAAATTCTAATAAAAAATACCTCAAAAACTACGAAAATTACACTAAAATACTCAGACGATGTATATTACACGCTCAGAAAATTGATAATACACGTTATTTAATAAATCAAATAATAAATGTAAAGCTGCTTGGAATATCATTAAAATATAATATTGATTTAGATACCAAAGAAATCACCTGTATAAAAACTGATCAGTGCACATACACTGATGCTAATGAAATTGCTAATAAATTCAATAATTTTTTTATAGACTTAACTAACTCAAACGTCCAGAACTCACAAAAACGTATTGATTACAAATATACCATCAACAATACATCAGATAGCATATTCTTGACCCCGACTAACGAAGATACTGTGTACAAATTATTAATTCATTAAACTCCACTAACTCTACAGGATATGATGATATCAATACAAAAATCCTTAAGCATTGCTCTAAATTTATATCTCAGCCACTCGCCCACATTATTAATTTATCACTGTTCGAAGGTGTTTTCCCAAAAGACTGAAGCTATCTATCGTCAAACCGTTATTTAAAAAGGGAGATAAACATGACTTGAATAATTATCGACCGATTACTCTAATACCAGTAATTTCTAAGATTTTTGAAAGAGTTATGTATGATAAACTCCACTCTTTTATAAAAAAACATTCGATTTTAAAAGATGAACAATTCGGCTTCCGAAAGAACAAGTCAACAACTCTTGCATGTTTACTCTTATAAAGATGATTACTTCAAGTTTAAATGACAAAAGACCAATAGCATCAATATTTCTCGATATGTCAAAAGCTTTTGACTTCGTGAATCACAAGTTACTTCTCTTTAAGTTGGATCGCTATGGTGTTAGGGGAAAAGCGTTACAGTGGATTGAAACTTATCTAAGTGATCGACAACAAAGTGAGATTCTCAAGGCTTACCTTATCAGAGAAAAAAACATATAGATCTGCCTTTCGTCAAAACTCATGTGGTGTTCCCCAGGGTAGCATACTTGGACCATTTCTATTCTTATTATATATCAACGACTTGCCTAATGTTACACACATCAATGCATTTTATACGCCGATGACACCACTCTTAATATCGAACTCACAGATAACAATATCACAAAGTACGAAATGGAGATTAACGAAACACTAAACAAATTAATAGAATGGCTTAAAGACAACAATTTACACGTCAACATTAGTAAAACCAAACTTATACAGTTCCAGGCTTATAATAATAAACGTCAGAAATTGGAAATAAAATATGCGAATAGCGCTGTAGAGGAAGTCGAAGCTACAACATTTTTGGGTATAACATTGGACAAATATTGTAACTGGAAAATATACACATTGACAAATTATGCACTAAACTACAAAGATTTGTATTCGTCTTACATAGGATAACACGGATAGCCGGTCTCAATGCAGCACTTTGTGCCTATCACGGATACATAGCATCTATTCTCCGCTACGGCATCATAGTATGGGGCAACTCCGTAGACATTATTAAAGCATTCCGAGCCCAAAAGAAATGTATTCGCTCCATGTGTAAAGTCGACCCACTACATAGCTGTGTTCCACTCTTTAAAAAGTTAAAAATTCTACCACTTCCATCTCTGTATATATTCGAACTGTGTATCTTTGTGCATAAAAATATAGGTTTATTTCAAACACATAATAATGTTGTAATAAGAAAAAGCAGACATACTCATAAGTTATGTGTACCACAACAAAGAATTCAACTTTTTTCTAATAATGTATACTGTATGGCAATTCGTATTTATAATAAATTACCAAATGATTTTAAAAGCCTTAATCTTATAGAATTTAAAAAGAAGCTGTTTTGTTTTCTATTGCATAAATGTTATTATTCAACAAATGATTTTTTGAATGAAAAATTTAACTCTAAATTCAACCTAGACGACTTTTTATTATCCTTCAAATAAATTGTAAGAATAATCTTAATTTTGTACCGAAAATAATTTTACTACATTGTGATAACTAATCGTCCATATTATGCAATTTTTTATTTTTGATTGTATGTTTTTACCTGTCTTATTTTAATTCTAACTTTTAATATTTGTACGCTGGAAACAGCAGAATATTCAGAACATTAATTTATTTGTAACACCTTTGTAACAATATTCTAACAAATAAACGTATTATTATTATTATTATATTATTATATAGTGAATAAGTTTCACAATTTTTATCTACATAGAAAAAAAATGTAATGACAACTTCGCCTTGAAAAAGGTAAATATTTAAAACCAAAAGCGAAGATAATTGAGTAATTTCACGAAAATTTGCCAACAAAACCTCAGTTTTATAAATAGGTATACATTTCCCCGTCCAAAACTCCGAGGCCTGCAAGCAAGTCGTTATCTTGACACTCTTAAACGAAGCTAATAAACGTGGCCAAATTGTAAACGTCATTATGAGGACCCAGCAATAAACTTCAGGGAACGTTATCGTCAATTTAAGAGCCCAATCTTTCGCCTAATCAAACCAGTCAGTCCTAATTGTAAAACAAAAATCGTTCAAAATATATTTTCCTTAAAGCTAAGGATACATTAGCGGGCATATGTCCCAAGACATGTATCGGCGACATGTCGGGGTAAACATTTATAACATGGATTCACTGCTTTATGGTGCAAAAGACCGCATCGCTTATCAGTCGCCTGCGTGGAAATCGCCACAGTATCCTTACTGTTTTAGTCGATAGACATGATTGTCCATTGATGCTAAAATTAGTGGAGACCTGTTTACTACTGCATATTAATATTGTATCTATAGTTATATATTATTGTGTTCTTTCTTTAGTATTATTTTGATGGACCTCAGTTATCTGAATAACTAAACTTTATTATTATTATTAAACCGGCCGGTGGCGTCTGACATATACGGTGACAACGTGCAACTCATGTCCACAGTGACATTGATGTTGCCAGACATGTCGACCAAAGTCCGGCAACGTCGCGCTACTTCACCCGACGTCGCTAGCGACACGTGTCGCAAGACATTTGTTCCCTAGTGTATCCTTGACTTAAAAAACCCCCGAACATTTACTTTCGAAGACAATTTCAATTCAATTTAGTATTGAATTTGCTACGGTACGGCAGAGCGGATTCGGTAAACTTAGATGTTGAGTGAATATCTTCAACTACCGGATTGATTGTGAATGGAAAAGACTAAAGCCCGTTGTCACCAACCTCTCTTAAAATTCAATGAACTCCTAAGCTAAGGTAGGTAACAATTAACGACATTTAGCATTTCACCTACCTGTAAGTGACACCTAACAGTATTAAAGAGTTAGTTTATGTGCCTCACTCTAAGTAACTTTTAGTTAAGAAATGGTAAAAACGGCCATCACAGTTAAAGTAGGTGTGTGATTTATACATAGCTTAGCATTTAAATTGCAAATACTTGTATTTAAAACTTATGCAGGACTTCATTTTCTTTTATACCAAGAGTTCCCTTACAATTACTGCCTTCGCTTCTGCCTTATAATTTGAGCGAGCGTTTATAAAATGTTGCAGCGTAGTATATTACAATGGCGTAGCGTTCGTAGCACGTAGCGTTGGGGCTACGGATTGCTACGGTTCTACGCTTTAGATTCCTATCCATTTATTTTTATTTTATAGTTTGATATGGATACTGGTTTTATCATAAGCTTAAGTATTATACCAGTAAATTACCATTTATTACTCAAAATATTCTTTTATTATTTTGAATTTCAATTGAATTATAATTGTCTTTAATAATGTTCTCTTTTAATATGTATTACTACTTACACTGCAGTGTTCAGGATGTATACTATAATAATTATTATCATATTAATATGATCGCGCCATTCACAAGTACTCACCTGACCTTTTTAAAGGACAACCACAATGGGATCCTTCTTTGTCCTTCCTGAGAGTCGTCTCCTTTTATAAATAGAATCTAATTATAATAATTTTAGATTTATTTACATAAATAAATACCTGTCCTTGTGCTTGAATTAAAATTAAACTGCGTCAGATTTAGAGGTCTTGTTAAATGTTCTGAAGTAATTTCGTAACCAGTATATTTTATACAGGGATTCTCCGTGAGGTACCAGGGTCGAAGAAATTACGAAGAGTATGAAATTACCTTATCAACTTTGTACCATATTCCAGTTTAAACATAGTCTCTGTTATTTAACAACGAAATATGAACACGAGATCTTTTTCTAAGAACAGTGTAGGACATTTCCGACGGTCGTTTCTGACATACATATTTTATTATATTCTCCACTTGTACAATTTACATTTTACTGGACTTTATAGACATTTATTTTGACATGACAGAGGGATTATGTCTTATCTTATTTATTGTTGGCCAGTTCGAGTTTAAGAGCGCAGAGTTTTTGTTTCTTAAAGAGTAAGTACCTAATTTTTTTTTGTGTTTTGCTAGCAGCTATACTAGTTATTTTTATTATGAATCAACGACGGCTTACTACTGAAAAATCTTTCCATCTTTAGATAAAGTATTTTGCTTTTATTTACTACAACATAACATCACGCCTTTAATCCCCGGAGGGGTAGTAGGCAAAGGTGCACATTACGGCACTTAATGCCATTACAATGTAACACCCACTTTTCACTATTTATGTTATGAGCCCCATGTAAGAGGGGGTGAGCTGATTGCCATATACCGGGCCCAATTCCTGACTACGTGCTAATACTGAATTTTTTTTAAAATCCAATAGTATTTTTCCCGACCCGGGAATCGAAACCGAGAGCCCTTGCCTACCAGTTTTTTTTACTAGGAACCAAAAAAATAAAGTTTATTCACTAAATGTGTATAAAGTTTTATAGAATAAAACACATAATCTAATCACTATCACAATTCTTTACTTGTATCACATCAAATAAATAAACGAATAATATAATTAATTAATATAATTAAAACAAAACGCTTTCGTATACACATCTTTAGAAATGAACAATACACCGCAATCAGGAACTTTTAAATTATTTGAAACTTTAACAATCTTCTGACCACTATAACATTAACTTCTCTTCTAGAAGCTGCTATCGCTTCTTCTTCTTCTTAACAAAGTCAGGAGGATGGAAACCCCTCGCCTGAAGTAACTCCTGAACATTATGACAAGCATAGTATACATTATTCATCGCAGCTTCTGTCAACATGTCCACATTACATTTTCCTTTATTTTTTCCTTTCTTTTTGGTTTTCTTTTCTTCTTTTTTACTGTCACCGTCGTCTTCATCTTCTTTTTTCTTTGGTTTACCAGCCATTTTTTTCAGTGGGTTTGTTTTGGTGTCCTGTGCACGCTTAGCGACGGTTTGAGGTGGTATTGATTAAACAAGTCGTTGTGACTAGGACCACGTGTTCATGGTTGATGTTTCAGGTAGTATGTACTATAGCGATACATACATATATGTATGATAACATAACATAACATCACGCCTTTATCCCGTCTATCGTGCTGCCACCCTGTCCCGACGTCGTCGACAGCAAACGCGTCGCGCCGTCATATATTTTGTTTGTTTTTTGCTAGCAGCTATACTAGTTAATATTATTATGAATCAACGATAGCTCACTACTGAAATCTTTCCATCTTTCAAATCACTTAATGCTATGTATACAGAAGCTGTTGGTATACCTAATTGAATAAATAAATAAATTATTAAATAAATAAATAAAGTATTTTGTTTTTAGATAAAGTATTTTATCCTCGAAAGTGTAGGCAAAGGTGCACATTACGGCACTTAATGCCACAATACAATGTAACACCCACTTTTCACTATTTATGTTATGAGTCCCATGTTATAGGGGGTGAGGCTATTGCCATATACCGGGCACAATTCCAGACTCCGTGCTACTACTGAGATTTTTTTTAAAAACCCAATAATAGTTTGCCCGACCCGGGAATCGAACCCGAGACCCCTTGCTCGGCAGTAACACTTGCATCCACTCAACCAATGAAGCAATCAAATTATAATATATCTACGTATGATGTGGTATTATGTCACTTAGTACACCACTTAGTACTACATAAGTTATTTATTTCATAATAGGTAATTCAGAAAGTGTCAATATTTTTACACAACTATTTTTGCATCAGATAGTTACAGACTACCTCGTTGGCCGAGTAGTCGCAAGTGGTGGGCAAGGGGTCTCGGGTTTAATGCCCGGGTCAGGCAAAGTATTACTGGGTTCTTAAAAAAATCTTAGTAATAGAACATTGCCTGGATTTGTGCCGTAATGTGCACCTCTGCCTACCCCTCCGGAGATAAAAGGAGTGATGTTATTTATGTTTATATTATAGTTACAGGTTTACTAACGCTACTTTACCAAACGATACGACTTTTTCAACATACTTTTACAACCCGTAACCTCTCTTACTTAGCGTCCGTGACCAAACTCAAGGAAACAAGGCAAGATTAACAAGCAATACATAAACGAATTAAACTTTAAACCACACCATTATTTTTTACTTCATACACCAGAGACCACATCAAACAAAACATGAGTAATCTAACGTGGTTTTAGAACTATCTGGGATATTTCAGCTTACCTAATACATTCCTTCGCATCAGACGAGAGGGTTATTCTGATATCCTCACGACCCAGTTTCAGATGGTCTTGGATCGTATTTGGCTCCCTTCCAGCCGGTCTGTTCACCTCTGCAGATCATAACGGCTATATATTAAGGTTTAAAGGGATTTTTATATGGAACGATTCGGCGTTTCGATCTAGTATGACAAAAATCGTAACAATTGGTCGCTTCTAAAATGACATTCACACCCGAATTACGATTTTGAGTGTAGATTTTTGTATGTGATTGCCTCATTGGCCGAGTGATCGCAATTGCGACTGCCTGGCATGGGGTCTCGGGTTCGATTCCCGGGTCGGGCAAAGTATTACTGGGTTTTAAAAAAAATCTCAGTGGTACCACGGAGTCTGGAATTCTGCCCGTTATATGGCAATAGGCTCACCCCCTATTACATGGGAATCATAACATAAAATAGTGAAAAGTAGGTGTTACATGGTACAGTGGCATTAAGTGCCGTAATTTGTACCTCTGCCTACCCCTTGGGGGATAAAAGGCGTGATGTTATGTTTTGTGTTATATTATGTTTTTTTTGTACGTTATCAATAGTCAGGGCCTGCTTTATGTATAGTGACTGCATTAAACTGAGGAAAACTCGAAGTGTTAACCGTAAATAGTCATACATTATACATTGTGAATCTCGATTAACGCATTCACTGCGGCAGCGTTAAATCTTAACTTTCTACTAGTGCGATACGAGACAAATGCTGCCCGTATCTATGTTTCCCGATATGCGAGGACAACGAGCTACCGCACTGGCTGAGAGTCAAATACAGCCAAATACTTGCCGTAACGCAGTGAATGTGTTAGCCCAACACGATGAATCGTAGAGATAAATCGTACCTTGTAAGCGGCTCTTAAAATGTCCTTCGAACTAACTGGTTCTGCTTTTGCATAATACAGCGAAAAATCGGGAACAACTGTCTGTCTGTGCAATTGCTCGGAAATTGAACGACATAGTGGTCTGATGAAGTGGTTGATAAGTTGTCTAAAACTTAGATATCGATATGTTAAGTTAGTAGTTGTCTTGACTGGTGCACAATGTAACGCCGGTTTAACAAATATTTACATAAATAACATCACGCCTTTTTTCCCAAAGGGGTAGGCAGAGGTGCACATTATACCACTGTAGAGGTACAATGTAACACCCACTTTTTACCGACTTCAAAAAAAGGAGGAGTTACTACGTTCGGCTGATTGAACCGATTTCCAAAATTTTTGTTTTGTTTAAAAGGGTATACTCCCGAGATGGTCCCATTTCCATGAGGTCAGGATCTGATGATGGGATCCTAGGGAAACCGAGGGGAACTTTCGAAAATTCTATGGGGGAGTAATGCGTCTATTATGTGTTTCAATTAGGATTTTTAAGCACTACAATTTGATAAGGGTCTGGAGTCGACCTGATGATGGAGTCGACAGACAGTCGAGGGAACTCCTCAGTGGTTTATATTAACTACCTTGAGTTTGGGCTTGATTAATTTGTATTGACGAGGACTTTACATCTAGATAAAGTTGGGCGACAGCCCAACTTTATCTAAAGTCCTTACAGATGTAAAGTAATGACAATTAAGGGTCTGATGATGAAGAAGTGTAATTGTTAAGGGAACTCCTCAACGGTATACAGTAACTACCTTGTGTTTGGGCTTGATTAATTTGTATTGATGAGGACTTTACACCTAAATAGAGTGGGGCTGTCATTAAGGGTCTGATGATGAAGAAGTGTAATTGTTAAGGGAACTTCTCAACGGTATACTGTAACTACCTTGTGTTTGGGCTTGTATAATTTGTATTGATTTCACTATTTATGTTATTAGTCCCATGTAATAGGGGGTGAGCCTATTGCCATATACCGGGCACAATTCCAGACTCCGTGCTAATACTGAGGATATTTTAAAAACCCAGAAATACTTTGCCCGACCTGGGAATCGAACCCGAGACCCCTTGCCCGGCAGTCGCACTTCCGACCACTCGGCCAACGAGGCAGTCAAATTCAGTTTTTCAAATTCAAATTACTTTATTTGTAGAACATAGGTTGCAAAAGATGTAACAAGCTTTACATTGACCAGCTATGTCTTACCACCAACGGCGTACAAATATATCAAATTAATTTATCAGTTATATACATAGATTTCAATAGTCAGATTTGTCATTAAATTAAGTAAAAATATAGTTACTTATATATTGGTATGTTAACACTGGTTGCCTTGACTGGTGCACAATGTAACGCCGGTTTAATTTCAGAATGAAAACAATTTTTTTTTAATGGAAAAATAGATGTGATGTCTTCCATTGTAGTGGGGTTGCTTCATTCCAGATTGCTTTGAAATTGCTCTCTATATCCATCAACACAAGGACTTTATTAAAGAAATACGACACAAGAATATTTACAATGCATCTTTATTAACTTAACAAAATATCATTTGGCAGATTGTGTACAGAATCTCATACGTTTATAAATGCACAATAATTAACAACAGTCATTCTATATTGGTATAATACTAATATTGTTTTATTTCATAGTATGAAGCGGTTCTTTTATTATATGTTCTACTTCTGCTCGGTGTAGCACTGCAGCTCCTACGGCGGGTGTGGCGCCCTCTGCTCTGCCTGAATATAACAACTGGAACAGAGAAAGCAAATTTTATAATGAAAGTTCAAAAACGTCCTAATATCAAATTACAAATGGTTTGAACTAAAATGTAACATGATTAAGATAATACCTATTGAGAAAAGTTCTTTGGTCAAAATGTGACTGAACAGTCACATTTTGACCAAAGAACTGAGAGTAAAGAGATAATATAGCGCAAAAAGTTATTGTGTTTTTGATACCAAAGTTCTTCGAAATAAATAGCGGAACATACATATATCTGTCTGTCTTTTGGGAGCAGGTGTTACGTTGTGTTTGTCTTTAGAAACTTTAACGTATTGTGGAAACATTTCTATTATTAGGTATCTACTAGCTTCTGCCCGCGACTTCGTACGCGCGATCCCGTTTCTCCCATTCCCGTAGGATTTTCCGGATTTTTTCTGTCTTCTAAAAACCTTCTCCTAATAATAATAAATACAACAAAAAAAGAGTTAGTGAAATCGGTCCAGTCATTCACGCGTGATGCCGTGACCAAGGGAAAAAGGGATTCATTTTTATATAATCACTAGTTTCTGCCCGCGATTTCGTACGCGCAATCCCGTTTTCTCCCGTTCCCGTAGGAATGTTTGGACTTTTTTCTGTCATAAAAATCTTCTCCTGACGATAACAAATACACTGAAAAAAAACAGCCAAATCGGTCTAGCCGTTCTCAAGTTATTGCGTGACAACGGGAAACGGGTTTCATTTTTATATATATAGATTAAAAAAGATAGCCTATAATTTTTCTAGTTCTAGCATCGCAATGCTCGAATATTCTATCAAAAACTCTACTCAATTTGCTTTCACTCATTATTTTAACCATATTTATACTCGAATAGTGAAATTTAATTGTAGGCATTGCAAAATTATTTTTAACCTAACGTGGTTGTTCAGCAATTAGGCGCAAAATTGGCTGTATCAGCTTTATCTACGGGGTTTAGCAGTGCGATGCGTATGATAAGCGAATGTTCGAAGGGTCGTCCATATATCACGAAATGTCGGATTCTAATGTTCAGATCAGATAATATTCAACGTGCGTTCATAAAAGCTGACGACTTCAGGCATCGAAATTACGTCATTTGCCATTCGAATATGACACTAAACGATCAGAAATTTGAGTAGACATTTGATTTTATTGCAAATGGGAATGTGTATGGCTATTACTATATAGGTAAGTGCAATTTTTATTTATTTGCGGTTTTTTAAGGGATATGCCAGTAAACAGGTATACAGATCACCTGATGGTAAGCAATCGGCGCCGCCCATGGACATTTGAAACACCGGAGGCGTTACAAGTGCGTTATCCACTTTTTGGGAATGCACAATTTGAGGATTGTGGGGGATTCGGGGAATGGGAAGACTTGAGAGAGGGGGTAATTGAGCCTCCGGTAACCTCACTCACACGACGAAACACAACGCAAGCGTTGTTTCACGTCGGTTTTCTGTGAGGCCGTGGTATCACTCCGGTCGAGCCGGGCTATTCTTAAAATATTCGCATATATGATGATATGACGAATTTATATCGTAAAAATGTCCATTAAATTCAAGACTGAATGGCCGTTTTCACCACCCACCTCTAAATCATAACTTAACTATTCAATGATTAATGTCGGAATACTCAAACGCTACTCAATTTTAAGTCGTGCTTAAGTATAGTTCTGTCTCCACAAATTCTTTGTAAAATGATAGAGATGGCACGATATTTAAGCACGACTTAAAATTGAGTAACGTGTCAGTATTCCGGCTATAAGTTACTTACCGTAGCATCTAAGCTAACCCCTCATTTGTACTGATAGGTGTCATTTATAGGTGCAAATTAATATTTTTTAAATTTTGAATGCCTCATTGGCTGAGTGGTCGCAAGTGCGACTGCCGGGCAAGGGGTCTCGAGTTCGGTTCCCGGGTCGGGCAAAGTATTACTGGGTTTGTAAAAACCTCGGTAGTAGCACGGAGTCTGGAAATGTGCCCGGTATATGGCAATAGGCTCACCCCCTATTACATGGGACTCATAACATAAATAGTGAAAAGTGGGTGTTACATTGTACAGTGGCATTAAGTGCCGTAATGTGCACCTTTGCCTACTCCTTCGGGGATAAAATGTGTGATGTTATGTTATGTTAAAATTTTAATGTCACCATCTTGACTTAGGGGTTGCTCAAAATTTAGGAGAGGTTAGTGAAAACGACATTAACATTTCTGACACCTCTTATATATTTTTTTTTAAGGGGGGACAATCATCGAATGACTGCTCCCGCCTGAGTGAGGCGGGAGGGAGTGTCAGACTCGTACTGACTAAAAACAACCCCGTTCCTACTCCTGCACGTCGAGCCGGAGCCCCGGTAATCCGTTAGGTTCTCCGCGACATTCCAGAGACTACCTTCACATCTATATCTCTTATTTAAATGTTAAGTTTATTTAGAAAGGGTTGTATAGGGAATGGTCCCTATTTTATGTAAACTATTCTTAGTAAACAATTCGTTTTCTTCAGTTCCCAGCGATTTGAGAAGAGCTTTGGGTTTATTTACTGAACTGAATAAATTGTTTTCCGATAAAGGTGCAAACGGGTAAGCAAAACGAAGATATACTTGAAGAGAACTTCAATTACCTACATAGTTAAATGTATACTACGTATCTAATAAAGTTTTTTTAACCCTTTGAGTACCGTCATTATAGACACAATTAAAGAACAATAGGTTGCAGTCTTGCGGTCACCGGTGTCCTCGCGGTGTTTGACAGTTTAAGGGGGTAAAATCATCGAATGACTCCTCCCGCTTGGGTGAGGCGGGAGGGAGTGTCAAACTCTTACTGACTAGAAACCACCCCCTTCCTTCTCCTGCGCTTCGAGCCGGAGCCCCGGTAACCCGTTAGGTTCTCCGCTACACTTATCTAATAATAAGATTGTGATATCGTTCGGTAATTACATAAATATTTACATTGACTCACATTTTACATTAGACTTTAAATCTATATCTAAATTCTTTTATTATTAGTACCTACTAATTGACATGGTCTGTCCATGTGCAGTATGAATAATAATTTGTAGAGAAATGATTTCTGAAAGTTTCTTTGTTTTATATTTAAGCAGTCCAATATTTAGGTACAATAACTTTGGAAAATTTTGTTTCAAGTTTTTTCCCAATTACATTCCCCTTCCCAAATCTCCCCAATTCCTGAATCCCTAAGGATCCTCAAACTCCTAATCCCCAAAAGGCCGGTAACGCACTTGTAACGCCTCTGGTGTTCCAAGTGTTCATGGGCGACGCCGATTGCTTACGACATAAAAAAAACTTATTTTTTATATTTATTATAACTTGGTGTAGGTATGCCTATTCGTAGTAACTTCGAGCAAACCAGGTCACGAGTGAAAGCTAGTGAAACAAAACTTGAGAATGCCCCAAGGATAAGTTAGAAACTTGTTACCTTTCTTCCGAGAAGATTTTCAAATCTCGGCTTGATGAAACTCCAAGCGCCCATATTTCTGTGCTCCTCCTGACTCCATATGAATTCTGAGAAAGTTTTTACATTTATTAAACCCAAATAAACACAATTTAGATACAAAATTAAATGTTTATTTCGTAAAGTTTTCGACATTCAACAACATTTGTTGTAGTCTACTTAAAATAATATTGAAGTTAAGCTTTAAAAGCAATAATGGTTTAACAATGTATTTGTTTTATTTGAAACATTTCTGGTCTACCAGTAATTCGGATTAGTTGAGTCAGAACTTATTTGGGCATTATTTGTTTTTAGAGGTAAAATTATCATGATGGCACCAAACGCTCGCCTCACGTTTGCATGGTAACATTACTACTAGTGAAAAATGCTTGTATTAAACATGTATGCACATTTCTGCCTAGCATTTTGGGAATGAAATTTGTGACGAAATATGTTTGTTTTATGCTAATGCAACACAGTGTCACGTATCTACACATCAGTCGTCACGTTCTGTTTACATCGACAGTTTTGCAAGCACGGTACGAATGCAGTTGCAAAACATGACCAAGCTTAATAGAGGTAATACTCGATGCTTATATAGTAATTATTGCTTAGTTATTGTAGGATTTATTCACTAGGTCATTCACGTTAACTTGGGGAGGTGTTGTCCCATAACTTCTCCCGCCTCTTGAGCGAGACAAAACAGAGTGATCCATTCCGTTCCTACGCCTGCTTTGAGCCGGAGTCCCGTTACGTTGTCTGCCGTTCCAGACTCACTGACAGACTTTAGTTAAGCCTGTCTCTTTCATCGATCGTAAGTTAACTGCATATTATCATGATGTCTCCGTTTCGATTTTAGATTGAGTAAAGAGATAATTAGAATTTACGATTCATAAATTCTCAGTAATAAAGCGCGTAGCGTTGTGACCACAGAAATATTACTTTATTATATCTATGGTTCGGATGGTGTCTTTCGATAGGCTTTCTCGAATAATCAGATTAGCAAAATAATTGGTACACATTGACTTTCTATAACTAACTGTTTAATTACGCCTTCGTTTTCGAAATGCTTTCTACAAATAACTGACTGAATAAATCTAAAACACAACTTACTTCTAGCATTTTTGAATCTTTGTAGTTCAGTCTGAAGGTCGTGCAGAGGGAAGGGTGCCAGGCCCTCTACCCTTATAATGGCAACATCATCTATATTGGCTCGGAGCCTTTCTTTCTGAAGCTCATAGTAATGCTTGCCAGAGACCAGGATCACACGTTTCACCTTCAGAGGATCAGCCAGGGGATCACCTGGAAAGAATAGCAAGATGATGTAGATGGATGGTAAAGTGGACTGTATCATTGGTAGGTTTAAAGATGAAAATAGATAGCAGTTAGCACAGTACATCAGACCATTTTGCAAGTAACCTATTATGTGTTGATGGGATTTTAATCAATTTTGAAATAACATAAACTCAGTTGCTTTATCGTTTTTGACGAAGCTCTCAATAATTACGATAAGTTATGGGTATCATATTCTCTATTTTTTTTCTGTGATTTCTACCTAACAAATGACGAATATTATTGTGCGTCTGTTTATTTATGTGTCTGTGTATGTAACTCATTAGAAGTATGTCGACCAAAACATATTCATAAATACACAAGCAAGGCCAGACAAAGTTGTATCAAGAAAATTAGGCACAATATATGGACAAACAGTTATTTCCTTTCATCAACAATATGGTTCCTATTCCTTACATATGTATATGTTAAGCATTTATAAATCAACTTGTTTGTTTGCTAGTAACTCAAGAACTTTAGTTGTTGGTTTATTTGTCCGGGTATACTAAACAATTTCGTCTTTTGACAAGAACTTAGGAAAAGGGTTGCGTTTTCCTGCTTAGTTACGCCTACTCCATCATTATTTTTCGTAAAACATTTTTAGCTTGCATTCATTTCATCATCATCATCATCATCATCATCATCATCATCATCAACATCATCAACATCATCATCATCAACAGCCTATAAATGAACACTGCTGAGTAAAGCCTCTTCTAACACGGAGAAAGTTTAAGCATTAATCACCACGCTTGCTCAATGCGGGTTAGCGATGACAAACTTATAATTAGAAATTATAAGCCCAGGTTTCCTCACGATGTTTTCCTTCACCGTTTGTTAGTGGTGTCTAAATAATCTTAGAAAGTATGTACTTTCTTCCTTTTTCCACACATTGGTAGTCACATTGGTACTTGCCGTTGGTAGGTTTCGAACCCGGGCAATCATGCATGAGGGGCGGGCGTCTTAAACCTCCGGGCTACCACGACATTATTGCATTCATTTATATCTTTTCTATTTCGTAATTTGATACCAACGTCGAAGATATGAAGATGAGTTGACCACATGCAATGCATTGCATGCCTTTAACATCGATCTGAATAGTATAAGTTCGACAGTAATAATTATCGAAAGTCTATATCACAGATATACATATGAGGCGATACACAGAATTGGGAACAGTATAAGGACTCCTTACCAATAACATTCTTGAAGTGTGTCCCAGGCGCGAAGTCTGATATATTCGACACAGCGTCGGCTAGTCGCAGTAAGATCTTCGGTGAAGCGATTACCAAAGGCTTTCTGTAATTTCTTACCATCTGGAAATACATTAATTTGGATGTAGTTTTTGTAAATAATACGCCTATTGATACTTAAGAGGGCTTAAACATATCGGGGTAGGTAGATAGGTAAGCGTAACTGGATCCTGTTTCAAATCCCAGGTTCGACATTTCTAGTGCCTGACACATTCGAAGAGTAATAGTATCTGTACCTATTTACAAGAGAATTTTTAATGGGATAAGCTGGTAAACGAACTGACGGATCACCTGATGGTAAGCCATCGGCGTCGCCCATGGACACCCGGAACACCAGAGGCGTTACAATTACGTTACCGCCTTTTGGGAATTATGAATGTGAGGATTTGTTGGGGATTCAGGGTTTGGGGGAGATTTGGAAAGGGGGAGGAAGTCATTGGGCCTCTAGTAACACAAAGCAAGCGTTGTTTCACGTCGGTTTTCTGTGAGGCCGTGGTATCACTCCGGTCGAGCCGGCCCGTTCGTGCCGAAGCATGGCTCCGCCACACTTAAAGTAGGTATGTAGTAAGCGTAACTGAAACCTGTTTTCAAATCCCAGGTTCGACATTTCTAGTCCCTGACACAGTCGGACAGTAATGTAATATTACTGTCCGACTGTGTCAGGGACTAGGGGGACTAGGGTATCTGTACTTATTTGAGCATTTGCTAATTAAAACATTATTTAACTTATAAGTTAAATAATGTTTAATAATGTTAAATAATAAAGGAAATATATTTCCTTTATGTATAATATTACATGATATTAGTAAATTACAAGGCTTGTAGCCTTAAAGATCTACCAACTTGTGAGTTTTCATATTAATCTTACGAGCTCACGTAACCTCGTTCAGTTAGTTATAGGGTAACATAGAAACTTTAATTTACTAAGATCGTACATCTTTTTATTTTGTTACGGGATTTTTATGAATGAATTACTTTAATACTTTTTGTACTACGTGTCCCACGTACATTTATGTTAAACATCAGTAGTGGCCAAAATAAGAAAATTAAAAAATTGAATTTCTCCGTCAGTTACAATGTGGGAGAGCCATGCTTCGGCACGAATGGGCCGGCTCGACCGGAGTGATACCACGGCCTCACAGAAAACCGACGTGAAGCAACGCTTGCGTTGTGTTTCGTCGTGTGAGTGAGGTTACCGGAGGCCCAATTACCCTCCCCTTCCCCAATCTCCCCAATCCCTGAATCCCCAACAATCCTCAAACTCCTAATCCCCAAAAGGCCGACTGACTATATCAGACGTACATATGTAAATAAATGACAATATAAAGCAAATATACTAACATACGGTAATTTTAACAAAAGTAACCAGTTACCTGTCTTCTCAACAAATGGAAATATTGAGCTGGTGTGGTAGCATTAGCTACATGAAGACAAACATTCTCGGAGTCAGGAGTGCTCTCCTTACTGTCTGTCAGCTGCAGGAACCTTTCAATCCTGCAGGAGGAGTGTTCAGAGGCCGCACCATCGTACCCATGGGGGAGGAGCATCACTAGTCCGTTGCTACGGACCCATTTAGCTGAATAGAAATGAATTATGGTTTATTGATAGCATTTGTTCGATACACAAAATGTTTATTTTCTGATGGACAATAAAATCTAATGGAATAGGGTAGATGCCTACTTTTTATTTTAATGTTCGTCTGGTAGATTATTTTAAATCATTAGACACGTATTTCAATTTTCTTACAGAAACGAATACTTTCGACGATATATTGATTTGAAATGTCGCGTGACGTCACTTCTATGTACAAAGTGGAAATGACGTTTTAGCCCCCACCCCTAAACTTTGATTCGTGTTATCTAAGTATTGTTTTATTATACGACAATATAAAAAAAATACGTGTCTAATATTTTTTCATTACCTAACTTACGGACTAATTAGATTTTTAATTTTCATACCCTGTCATCATCTCAATTGTAAGAAATTAGGACTTCATCCGTCTGTTCGACTGTTGAAGATTACATTCGAGAATATCGCATAACAGAACTAAAATATCAATCCGCGTATACAATTATATACAATTATTTTCTCAGGAGTTTGCTTGTAGTTTTCCAACCACTATGTCAACAATGACATCAACAAAATGTCAACAAAATTAATTCAAGTTATTATCCGATATGAACTTGAAGAATAGACGAAAGCATTTTCTTTTCAAATGACATATTCTTTCAATGCCCAACCTCAATTGATTTCAAATCTAGATTTATGAAGCAAATTCACGTCAATGCCTTACAAATCTATTCATGATTTTTCAAAGATTTATTTTATTATTAATCCATCAGAGAGAAGGCGACAGCTGAAGGAAACATTAATCGATAACATTGAAAACTTTCTTTTACAATAAGTTATGAAAACGAAGGCGGTGGACGGCGAAATGAGATTCTTGAACTGCAAGGAATTGAAATCTTAAAAGGGTTTTTAGAAAAGGAATAAGATAGCATCTATCGAGCAAAATGCCTTTATAATTTTCTTTTATTTTAGTACTATCCTTCTAGTACATACGTTAGCTTTATCTTGTGTTTAGTCTTCTTGTGAAATTGTATTGGTACAATTAGAGCAAATTAGAAGTAAGTATGTATGAAACCATAGCTTATTATATTCCATTAAACTTAAATTTGACTACTTTGGTACGTGTTACGTAATCATCAAGTTAAATAACAGAAAAGGACTTTTACATATAAACAGGATAAAGACTTAGTACTCACATTCTCCAGAAGCAATGAATGTATCCACAATGATCTGGGCTCCGTTGTAGAAATCACCGAACTGTGCCTCCCAGATGCAGAGATTATCCGGCGAGTCGTACGCCATTCCGTATTCAAACGCCAGTACTGCCTCCTCAGACAGAATCGAATTGGCCACCTGGAAAGAGGTGCAGATGTGTGAGGATCGCATCGTGGTTTGTGGTGTGTGGTCGTGGATGTGTCATTGCGATTGGGATTGGGGTAGGTAGCAATGATGTGAAATACGAATAGTATAGGAAATTTATTGGGTGATAGTAATTTAGTACAGTTGTCCATAGGTATTTTGTTTCACATTACTGTAAAAAAGGTGTCTCGTTTCGTTCGTATTGTATTGTTTTTATAGGGCTCGTACACAAAACTGCGATGCGAAGCGATGCAAATTCGAAACGCGAAAAATTACGATGCGATTTCGTGCGACAGGACGTGACCACTCCTTCGACGATCGTCAACCGTACTAAATGTATTTTTTTAAATTGACACATGGATCGTAAAAAAATTTGCTCTTCTGTTATTGCTTAGGAGATACAGGAAAAGAAACAAATAATATTTTGGGAAGATAAGATGTTGATGCGCGATGCGAATCAATTCGCAAGTTCTTGCGATGTGTAGAGATGCCTCGTATATTTTTGCGATGCAATGTCGCATCGCAGTTTTGTGTACTCGCCCTTGGATAGGTAAATATGTGCGACGATAATTTCGTTGTTTATGTATTTTTGTGATAATAAATTAATGATTCTCTTTATAAATTACACACATTTTGAAATTAATAAAGGCTTTTCCATACAGGTAAAACGATTCTGGTCATTTCTGAAATTAGACTTGAGAATTGTCAATCATTGAGCAGTGTAAGAGGGACGGAGCTATACAACCTAATAGTTCCGTCCCTCTTGCATTGCTCAATGATCGACCATTCTGACACAATTATAATAGTAGACTATTGCCGGAATACTGAAACGTTACTCAATTTTAAGTCGTGCTCAAATATCGTGCCGTCTCTGTCATTTTACAAAGAATTTGTAGAGATAGAACTATACTTAAGTACGACTTAAAATTGAGTAGTGTTTCAGTATTCCGACATAAGGCCCCTGGTACATTCTCTCTAGCATGGTGATACCTTTACTCACTTCTAGAAAACCTTTCTGTTTCTCATGTATGTGGTTGAGAGGTATGTGGATGGCTTCCGTCTCTTGATCCACCAGCATCACGTGGCGATGTGAGAAGGTGCCTCTGCCGACATCCTCGCCACTCAGACGCACGTGACGACCTTCCATTAAGAGGGAACCTGCGAAGAGTTTGGCAAAGATGTCTTTATTAGTGTCATGATGATATTAGCCACAAAAGGTACTGCACTAAAGACTCGCTGACTTATGTTTCTGTACTCTGTCAAATGCTGTAAATGTTTATTTCAAAAAAAGGAAAAGTTTTACAATTTTGTTGTATCCTGGACCTCACACTAGGATTCCCTGTGTCGTGAGGCCCAGGCTCCCTAACAAACAGTACAAAAAGAAAAGTTATCATAATGCTTAAATATAATTGTGTATTTTGTGTGTGTGTATGAATATGTGTGGATGTAAGTGAGTAAGTAAGTAAATGTGTGTGTTGTGCGTGTGTGTGTGTGCGTGTGTGCGTGTGTGCATCTGTTTTATGTAGTGCGTGTGTATGTGAGTGTGTGTGTGTACGTATCCATGTTTGGAAATGTGAATATGTCACCTAAGTGAATACCAATCACTATTTTTTTTTTATGTTTATTCAGATCGTGCACATTTTTCTATGGCTATATGGAATTTGGCCTCACTGATTTTCTATATGGTGGCCCGGGTTCGAAACCTACCAACGGCAAGTACCAATGTTACTTTTCCAAGTTATATGTACTTTCTAAGATAATCTAGACACCACTGACAAACGGCGAAGGAAAACATCGTAAGAAAACCTAGGCTTATAATGTCTAATTTTAAGTTTGAAATCGCCAACCCGCATTGAGCAAGCGTGGTGATTAATGCTTAAACCTTCTCCGTGTGAGAAGAGGCCTTTAGTCAGCAGTGGCCACTTATATACTGTTAATGTAATTTTCTATATTAATATTTAATTATTTCTCTGCTTATAATACTATAAGCAGTATCTATAATTTGTAATTGTTGACGTTCGTTTCGATGTTGACGGCATCATTTTTTCGTTGATGAAAAGTTTTATAAAAAAAAAAACAATATAACATTTTTCAACCTACCGATCTATTATAAAAACAAACATTTTGTATCGGAAACAATATTTGGTTTGATATAGATAAGCGTATATCGTACGGGGCGATCCAATTTAATTGAAAACCCACTGATTCTATTCAATTACGGATCAATCGGTAATCTCTTTGAGTTCCGTCCTAAACTGAAATGGTTAGTGTTACATTGGTTTCGTTGTATTTTGAGAATTGTTCTGAATTTATTATATTTCGTTACAGCAATATAAACAACGACAATAAAATAATTCTGGTTAGAATTTACCGTGGTTGACTATAAAGCATTTTGTTCAGCAATAAGAGCAATAAATTCATCGGATACCTATAAATAATATATTGCCGACCGACTGCCTCGTTGGCTGAGTGGTCGCAAGTGCGACCACTCAGCCAACGGTAAGCCACGTGGTAAGGGATCTCGGTTTCCATTCCCGGTTCGGGCAAAGTATTACTGGGTTCTAAAACAAAATCTCAGTAGTAACACGGAGTCTGGAATTGTGCCTGATATATGGCGATAGACTCACCTCAATTTTTTTTAATAACGTTTCCCCATACTAGGTTTTTCTCATGTGTTGTGGTTGCGTTTACAAACATACAAATTCACATACACATGACACCCAGACCCGGAACAACAATTTGTGGATCACACAAAGAGTTGCTCCGTGCGGGAATCAAACCCGCGACACGTCGCCCAGCCACCGCACTAACCGTGTTGTCAATTCAATTCAATTTACATGGGAATCACAACATAAATTGTGAAAAGTAGGTGTTACATTGTACGGTGGCATTAAGTGCCGGAATACGCACCTTTGCCTACCCCTTCCAGGATAAAAGGCGTGATGTTATGTATGTATTAATAATATATTTGTACAGTGTAGTGAACTGTACACTACTTTTTATAGTTAATTGTTATGGAGTAAAGTACTCGTAGATAGTTAAGTTTGAAGTTGTGAGTGTAAACACTTCTAGAAGTCCCGAAAAGTTTATTTTTAAAGGTTACAAGTAAGATTGTTAGGTGATTCTCACAGTGGTACGTTCGGTAGCGAGTTGAAGTGCACACTGGTCTACAATTGAATGCCGCGACGGAATATCGTCCGATATGTATAGTCATCATAATAGAATAAGTTTAATTAACATAATTAGTGTACGTAAACCGTACATATTCTTAACCCGAGAAAAGTACCAAAACTATCAAAACGACCATATAAGAATCACCTGTACATAGCAAAGAATAGTTAAAAGTATAAGAAGAATAATACAACATACAATACAACTACTTAGTTAAAAGGTATAAGAAAATTACTTAGTGTGTTGTAACTACAACTTAAATTCTACATCCGAGGTAGGCTTCGAACGTGCACTGTTGACTGCGAGCGTCGCCTTCCCCTCATCTCGTGTCCTTGGACCGTGGCGCTCCATCATCGAGCGAGACCGGAACAATTTCTTCTTCCCGCTGGTTGCTTTGATGGACTGCATCTCGATGTCCTCAGTTATAACCGGATACTTGCTGAATTTCCCCAATTGTTTACAGTATCCACGTTTGTTTGCCACCCATATGGTTACTGCCACTCCCACAACACTAAGTAGAAAATAGGAGATGGCGTAATGATGTATGTCATGATTTGTAAACGTTGAGGTGGGAAGTTGTTCTTTACCCCTTTGATATCGCAGACGATCTTCGACCGTTGCTATGTCTTCGTTGTAGTTCAGTTTCAGTAGCGGTGTAGAGTGTGTGTTGACGATAGCATTAATAGTTTTATCCAGAGAAGGGATTTGAATGTCGTAATCCAGCTTGACGTTACTGTAGTAGTAATTATGAGAGTGTATTTTCAAATCTTTTGCCTGAAGAAGACATCCTTGTTTCAGCGACACTATAGATGACGTATTTATGACGTGCATTCTGACATCACCTTCGCACACAGTACGTATATTGCACGAGTCGCAACACGTCACTAACCAGGTGTTGGTAGTATATAATTCAATCCATGCAGTGACGCATTCGGTTTTCTTTGAAATACACGGTAACGTTGATTGATGTGCTAATAGTTTTGCTTCACAGGGTGCATTGACGTTTTGTAAATTGAATATAGGTAAGTTTAGAACACAGATGAAGTTATCTCTCTGCCTTTGGACGCATTGACTCAACTCCTTTTCATTAAATCTGGCGTAAGTATTCTTCTCCAAGTTTATAGCAATGTATTTCGATGACACAGAAACAGCTGTTGTGACGTTTGCATCATCTGGGTTCTTCATTGGTAAGGGAAATATTTCATAGATAACAAAGTCTTCGTCGCTCGCCAGAGGAATGTGAAGCTCATACAAGAAGTAACTGTCGGTAACTCGAGCCTTGACGTAGATTAATTCATAGATATCTTTTATTTCGTCTTGAATATTAGTTACAGGTAATGTTAATGTTTTGGATAACTGGCCGGAGATGATAGTGAGCTGCTGGATTAGGGTGGTGGGCGTAAGTAGGTGAACATCGATTCGACCCTTATAAGTATCAATCAGGGTGTTGAAAAGAGTTTCTTGAATGTTTTTCAAGTTTGATAGTAGTAAATGCGCCGCCAGCGATGCTGAAGTAAAATAGGTGGTTGCCATCGCTATTTCAATTGCTGACTCGATCTTCGCCATTTTTAGATCAGTCTCGTTCATAAATTTGTTGATAAGTGTAAATTGGTTATTGATGTTCTGTTCGTTCTTTTTCAAAATATCATTTTCAATCTCGACGATAGAGGTCTGGTTTCGCACGAGTTCTAGAAGATAGTCTTCATTTTTCTGTATGTTCTGAATATCCGTTTGATATTGTTGAGCAAATCTCTGATCCAGGATTCCAAAGAGACTGTTTGCAACGTAACCGATGCCGTCGATCAAACCCCGTTTGTTTCGTCCCGACAGATGTTTGTGTGGGGCGAGCAGTATCTTGTTGTAATGTTGTAGAATTTCCATTTCATGTGAAAGTTGTCGTATTGTAGTTTCACAATATCTTGGTTCCAAACTTTTACAAAATTCCAAAATGTCGTGTAAGTAGTTTTCATATTTTTGAACTCCGCTCCAGTACGTAGATAGATTATAGTACATCAGCAGTCTCCACTCGTTGTGAATCAGTTGTACTTTGCCAATAGTGTCGTAATATATAGGGCGATCATTGCCGAGACTTGTGATTTGAACACTTGAAGCGAAGGCATCCGATGGTATAGCGTTGCCATATATTCCAAACACCGAAGAAATAACAAGTAAAGTAGTAGTTAACATCTTGTAGGCTATTTTCGATTTAATAGTCTTGCCGATGTGTATTCTTGTAGGCTGATATGTTAGTAATGAAAATATTGTAATTTATTTGTAAGTTATTGTGTGGTTTCAACGGGCAATAGCGACAATTTCGCAATGGGTCGCTTCAATATGCTGGCTTGCGTTTTTACGGTTGCAACACGCACGTGTCCGTCGCTACCAGGATGGACTTCGATCACACGCCCGAGCGCCCACTTGCCAGGGGGAAGATTGTTGTCCTTGATTAAGACAATATCATCATTTTTGATGTTTGGCGTGGATTTTAGCCATTTGCTGCGTGCTTGCAAAGTTGTTAAATACTCCGAGGACCAGTGCCTCCAGAACTGATGGAACATGTTCTCAGTTAACTGCCATCTTTTTCGTAGGTCTAGATGCCGGTCATCTTCATAGTTTGAGAGAGGAAGAGTCATAGTTGGACTTCCTGTGAGAAAATGCCCAGGAGTCAAATAGTTGTAAAATTCGTCTGGGTCCTCTGTGAGTGGACAAAGCGGGCGGGAGTTCATGCACGCTTCTATTTTAGTTAACAACGTCGAAAACTCTTCAAAAGTAAGCTTTTGTTCCCCAAGTACTCGGCGTAAGTGATGCTTCATAGATCGCACAGCGGCCTCCCAAAGCCCACCTGCTGTTGGCCAAGCAGGAGCATTGAAGTGCCACTCTACTTTCATGTTACTCATTTTGTCAAAAAAGTCCGGCGACAATTCTGATTTAAATAGCTCGTAGTCGTTACGAAGTATCTTCGATGCACCAATGAAGTTGGTCCCGCA